TCTGACCTCCACAGGCACCAGGCACAGCACACACACATACATACAGGCCAGATATATACAATTTTTTTTTTTTTTTTGAGACAGGGTTTCTCCGTGGCTTTGGAAGCTGCCCTGGAACTAGCTCTTGTAGACCAGGCTGGCCTGGAACTCACAGAGATCAGCCTGCCTCTGCCTCCCAAGTGCTAGGATCAAAGGCATGGGCCATCACCACCCAGCTAATGTCACACTTAAAATATAGAAATAACTGAAAAATAGCAAAATAAAACTTAAGAAGTAGAGAGCAATCTAGGAAGACATCTGATGCCACAAACTGTCTTCATACATGTGCACGTGTACACCACTTACACACAAACGCTTGTGCAAATGATTACAGAAAACAATGAAAGATACTTAAGTTCCAAAAACTGGTTTATTTGACAAATTACATTTCTTGAGTAAAAACAAAATACTGATGTTTGCATGTTGTTTTTCTCCTAGTGAACTTCTAGGCATCAAAGTCAAGGTTCCCACACCTGACAGACAAGGTCTCTACCACTAAGCTCTGTGACTAGCCCCAGATAAATTGTCTAGGTAAGTATGCCACAGCTGGAGGAAGCTCGGTGGTAGGACACTTGCCTAGTCTGTGTACAAGGACCTGGATTGGATCCCTGGTATTGCCACAAAAACAAAAGCAACAAAAACTGTCTCATGAATTATAGTTTGGTTTTGAACACACTGAAATTTTACTGTTGTAAGAATCAAACTACAAGAGCAAGCTTTAGCCACCACCATCCGGCCTTCTGAACCATCTTTATTCACATGGTGCAAAGCCTTAGAGTTGCCTGCCTTCTCTCAGACATCTCTTTCTCTTCCCATTGCACCTTTTCAGCTCCTGGTGAAATAGTCTCTTGGCCAATTTGAATAAGCCACTGTGGTAATGCAGAACCTGTAAATGCCAGCCAAATGGGTGCTTCATTCACATGTCAGAGGGACTTTGTTAACAGGTAGGGAGGGTCCTGAACTTTCTCAGGTACAGTGAGTGACTATTGTTGACCTCTAGGTTTGGTTCACTGTTGTTAATCTGTATTTTAGAGGTTTTGTGGTTTAACTTTTATTATTTTAGAAAAAAAAAAGATGCTTTTTTTGTTTTGTTTTGTTTTGTTCTCTTTTTTCCCTCCAGGGGGGAACCAGGGATTAAGCCCAGGGCTCTGTGCATAGCAGACTATATCACCAGTCAAAAACACCACTTTCCCCTATGGGTATAGCGGTGCATGCCTTTAATCCCAGCACCTGGGAGGCAAAGACAGGTGGATCTCTTTGAGTTTGAGGCCAGCCTGATCTACAGAGTGAGTTCCAGCACAGCCAGAGCTACACACTCAGAGCCTGTCTCAAAACAACAAAAGAAAATCACTTCCTCAGGGCATTCTGATCACATTTAGATATGCTGGTGTGGATGCAAACACATACTGTATATGTGAGCAGTCTCCATGAGTTTTCCCAGCCGAGGATAGAGGGACACACACTTAATTTCATTTTTATTTTTCTTGTTGCTTGTGTGCTGTCACATGTGTACCGGGGGTGGGGAGGAGGTCCATTTAGAGGCCAGAGCAGAAGGGTGTATTTGGGATGATACTTCAAGAGTACAGTCCATGCTGGCAGAGAAGGCAGAGCAGCTGTCAATTCTGGGAGACAGTGATGAGCTCAGTGTTTTCCCTAAAATGTTTCCAGAGCTCTCACTAGGCAATGAGCAATGATGACCAAGTGACCCGAATCTGATTACACAGAAAAGCCAGGAAGGGAGTTTGGTGGTGGGATAAGCACATGCCTAGCATGTGTAAGGCACTGCAAGAAAACCATGGATTCAGAAGGCATAGCAACATGCTGGATGCCACCACATACCTTCTTCCTTCATCCTCCCAACAGGAGGCAAGTGATAATGTGACTTTACAGCATAGACTCAGATGGAAGTGACAGAGTTGCAATTTGAACACCCTGCATCTGGCCAAGAAGAGAAGTGGCAAGACTTGAACAGAGAAGAACGCAGTATGAAGGAAGTTAAAAGAATACAGTGGGTTTGTGACTGACTAAAGACACTAGCTGGGCAAGCCTGGTGACCTGCTTCTATCCCCAGAATGCACGAAAAAGATAGAGGGAGAGAACCAGCTCTACAGTTATTCTCTGAACTCTATACGAGTACTGTGGAATATCATGCACTCACACAATAATAAAATAAAAATGTCAAAATATAACCAAACATCAGGTGTTGTGGCATAGCCTGTAATCTTGGCACCCATGAGGATGAGACAGGAGGATTGTAAGTTCAAAGCGAACATGAGCTACATAGTGAGTTCCACCCCATCTTGGGCAATCCAGTGAGATCCTGTGTCAAAGAACTAAGCAGGCAAGCCAGAGAAATGGTTCCAAGGGTAAAGGTTCTCATTAACAATCCGAATTCAATCTGATGTGGGACCCACGTGGTAGAAGGAGAGAACCAATTCTACTAAATTGCTGTGGTGCACGTGCCTGTGTACACAGGCATACACACACAAAATAAATGTTGTAAGGGGGTAGGGAAAAGGACCCTAAAACTAAACAGAGGCTGGAGAGATAGCTCTGACATTAAGAACACTTGCTCTGCAATCACGAGGGCCAGAATTCAGACCCAGCCCTCACTTAACAAGCCAGGCGTCTCTGCAAATGCCTCTAACTCCAACCCAGGGTGAGAGAAAAAGAGGTTCTCGGGGGCGTGCTGGCTTCCAGCTTGAGACAGTCATCAATCAGTCCTAGGTTCAGGCAAGGCCCTTGCCTCAGAAGAACAGGCAGAAAGTGACAGCAGAGGTCACCTGGTGCCTGTTGTGAGCTGTATACAGGTGTACACACACACACACACACACACACACTCCCACACACATAAACAAGATTACATGTAAAAGACACTAACTAAAAAAATATCAAATTAGAAATGATGACTATCCTTTCTGATGAATGCTAAAAAAAAAAAAAAAAACAGACCCCTGACAATGGAAAAAAACCCAACTCTACAAAATTCGAAAGGCCAGGGAGGGGAGGGGGTGTGAGACCACAGGTCAGGTCAGCACACAAGCTTTGCCAGGGGCCTCAGTGATCACATCAGTGCCTTTCAATCAGCAAACTGGGGACTAAGAAGAAGAGTACACATGTCACATACAGACCCCAGGTCTTCCTACGACCATGCTAATGCTTGTGCTGTGCAGCAGACAGTATCCTAATCTCAGAGGATCCACCCCGTTTGCCTCTCTGAGATCTTATGCTTTTAAAGAGTTCTCCCCATATCTCCACACTGAATCCACCAGTGCCAATCTCACTGGTGCTGGACCAGATGCCATCAACCTACTCAGTACTCACAAGAAGCCTCCGCTTTTTCCTTCCCCTGGAGTTGTCTGTCTCAGGCTTCCCGCACATGACATCTGCTTCCTCAGAAATGGACTGGAGCCAAGACAGGGAGCTGCAGAGAAGACTTGGTGGTTAGGGAGCACTGTGGCTCTTGCAGAGGACTTAGGTTCAGTTCCCAGCACCCACATAGTGGCTCACAACTCCTGTTCCCGGGGATCCATTGCCCTTTTTTGATCTCAGGCTCTACTGTGCACATGGTACCTACAGCTAAACACAGAGAAAACCCTCATACACATAAAAGTTTTTGTAAGAACCCAGAAAGGAGGGTGTCCAGTCAGTCTTTCATTGCTGTAGCAAACACCCGAGGTAACTAATGAAGAGGAAAGGTTGCTAGGTCTGATGGTGCACACCTGTAATCCTATCACTCGGGAGACTGAGGCAGGATGACCTGGGTCCAGGTCCAGGCTACATACCCAAACTTTTGTCTCAAAAACCAATACATAAATGTTTATTTTGGCCACAATTTTGTGAGTTCATGGCTCACTACGTTGCTCTTAGGTCCCTAGCAAGGCAGAATACCATGGAAGAAGCAAGTGGCAGAGAAAAACCTGCTACATCAGAACATAAACTCAAGACGTGAGGCAAAGGAAAGGGCTGGGGCTCTCAGCCCTTCCGGATTACTGAGGAGGTGCTCAGAGGAAAGCAGATGTGCTGGTCATCAGATCACCTTTGCATGCTGGAGGCCAGACTGCTGATGTTCCCTCAAAGGGGATGGAAAGGGTCACTGGACCTGAGCTTTCAGCTGCTCCCCCAGCCATTTATGTGTCATTCTGCCCTAACTGCATGGGAGGTGCTGGAGTACACTGGCTATGGGGACGCCATCAGCCATGATGGGTAAGGACTTTTGCAGGCAACCCCTCATTCACGCTCTGTAAAAGCACATAAACAAACTGGTTTCACAGGATGAACTTTGGGGCAATCGGTTTGAGCTGTCATTGGGACTTTATGAGGAGTCGGAAGACCTTTTTTTTTTTTTTTTTAACCTCTCTCCAGGGAAGGAATTCTTGCAAGCCACCAACACATCCAGGGAACACTCGCACATCGATCGACGTTAATATTATGCTCTATCGAGCTGGCAACCCCAAGAGACGCAGCAATAAATACCCTGACGCCATGGTACAGTCACAAAAGTCACGTTTCCAGGATTCCTCCCCAAAACATTAAAGTTTGTACTCAGGGCTACTTTCTAGTTCCGAGGAATCCATCGAGTCACGTGTCCTGCTCTGCGGGTCCCAGGCCAGGCGCGCCCCCAAATGCCCACGTTCCTCAAGTCACCCCTTTCTGTGCTCCAACACGCTCCCCCCGCCCCTCCTCCTCGCCTGAGGTTCTCGCGTCCACACCGGCCGGCTCCGCTCCCGAAGCCAGGTCCTGAGGGAGGGGACACAGCAACAGGCGCCTACTCTCCTGGCATGCCGCTCGCTGCGGCCCGGGGGAGAACCAAGCACGACCTCGAAGTGCGCACGCGCGCCGACCCAGCGCGGGTGAGTTCCCCTGCCGAGTGCAGCGGTCTACCTAGCGCTCCCAGGCAGTTGCGTCACTGTAAGTCTGACCAATCAGAGCTGAACGGACCATTGCTTCCGGCCCGCCCTCTCGCCTGAGGCCGGGGGAGGGCCGGGCCATAGCTGTAGCCTAAGAGTTCAGGAGTATCCACTAGGAACCTGCCCCGCCGGGCGTGGGCCCAGGTAAGTGCAGCGCGGTGTCCCCGTAGCATCAGTGACAGGACCGTGGGGACTGCTATCCGGGGAGATCGGGGCGGCTCAGAGCACCGGTGCCTCCAGGTTCCCGCTCCCCCTCCTCCATTGGATGCGTTCGCTGGGACGATCAACAGAGGGAGAGGGACTGTACCTGTGTTCTCTGCTGCACACCTTCAAGGCACCTCCCTCACCCCTGCCTCGAACCCCCAAACGCCGGCCCAGGCACCCGGGTCACAGCACGCCCCCACTGCAGTCTTAGGACCGCAGGGATTTGAAGAAGCCGATCGCTGACGCCTGAATGTTTTAGAGAAACGAAGCGTCCAGGGGCCTGTCTATAGCCTTCTCCCTTGACGTTGTTGGAAGTAAATCTGCTTGCCCTGGGATTAGTGTAGGCAGATGATCAGGGCCCTACAGCTCCAACATATGCTCATGATGGCAGTGCAGGGGACCCACCTGTCGCCCAAGTACAGGAATTGGATAAAAGCCAGGATGCTTCTTGGCTGCTGGGGCAGGGCAGAGTATTTATTCTTCAGGAAGGGCCCCCACTCCCATGCAAGCTCTGCTATTTCCTGTCTTCTCTTTTAACCCTAATGTCGCTTTGGAGTAGTCCCTGCACTTGGCAGCCAGAAAACAACTTTAATAGCCAGTGCACACCAGATAGGAGCGCTAAGATAGTTTCGGGGGAAGTAAACATTTGGATGCTTCCTTTTTGCAGTGTTGTGGCTTCTAGGACATCTACCCCCTAATTGCCCTGGGCTCTTTCTCTGGCTTTTTTAAATCTCTTCGTGTGTGCAGATGCACACGTGGGTGAGGAGGTCAGAGGTTAACCTGCGCCACCTACCTTGGTTTCTTTAAAGACAGTTTTTCTCACCAGCCTGGGGCCACTGATTAGCTAGACTTACTGGTCCCCTGCCAGGGAGCCCCAAAGATCCACCTGTCCAGCTCTGGGATTATAAACAGGTGTCATTATGCCTCACTTGAAATTTTATTCTAATTTATTGTATGTGTGCATGCTCTTGCCATGGCTCACATGTGGAGACCAGAAGACAACTTGCAGGTGTGAGTTCTCTCCTTTGGACATGTGAATCCCAGGGATCAAACTTAGGTGGTCCAGCTTGATGTAAAGTATCTTTACCCAATCAGCCTGACCACTCAGGTCCTCCTGCTTACAAGGCACTTCACAGACTAAGCCATCTTCCCAACCCTCACTGGGTTTTTTGTTTGTTCATTTTTTGTGTGTTTGTTTGTTTTGGGCTGTTTTGTTTTGTTTTGTTTGAGACATGGGCTCACTATGTAGGCCAGGCTAGCCTGGACTCACAGCAATCCTGCCTTCCTGGTGCTGAGAGTATGTCCTGTGCCACCACATCAGGCTACTTTTTGGTCTCTGAAGGGATCTGTGAATAACTGACCCAGAAAGGCAGATGGCTTTTGTGGTGTCGAGTCTTTTTAACCAAATGACCAAAGGACCAAGTTACATTTGTTTTTAGAGATTTGTGGGGAAGTAGAGGTTGCTTCCGCGGGAGATGTTCCCTCACTTATGTAAAAACAATGCCATCTCAGGATCCCAGAATCACAAGACCTCCGCACACCCACTTCAAGAGTCCTGTGATCTAGTGACCCAAGCCAGGTTGCATGGTGATCTCACAGGAAGTGGCATGTGACAAGTGGGAGGAACATCCTTTGGAGGCAGAAAGGAGTTGTGGTTGGCTGAGGATGTTTGCCCTGTATGGCCTTTAGCTCAGGTGTGACTGGTGCCTGAGTCCCTACTTGGCAGGAAGTTTGTAAATACAGCTCCCACTCCATCCTGTTTCTATATTTCTATATCAGTGTATTATTCCATTAGCTGCCCAGAAGGTTCAATTATATCCTGAAAGAAAATTACTGCTTAGTCATTTATCTGAAGGGAAATGCTTCAAATACATCTTTACCTTTTGAGCTCAACCTTCAGGCTCAGCTTGACTTAACTGGCTGTTTATACATTGAATTGTGAATTGTTTTTGGAGGAGAGGGGATTGAGACAGAATCTTACTATGTAGCCTAGGCTGGCCTCTTATGTGCTGAAACTACAGGAAAGTATCACCTTGGCTAGCTTGAATTTTATTTTCTTTTTTAAAAAATTACTTTTTAAATTTATTTGTTAAATTTACTTGTCTGAGAGCAACTTTGTATAGTTGGTTCTCTACTTCTACCCTTATGTGGATTCAGGAGTTTAAACTCACATTGCCAACCTTGTATGACAAGGTTACATACCACCTCTGACTTGATTTTTTTTTTTTTTTTTTTTTCAAGAGACTGCAGCCTGGTGAGAGAGCAGACACCTGTGATTTCAGCACTAAGGATGCTGAGGTAGAAAAGAGTGTGAGGTCCAGGCCAGCCTGGACTGTATAGCGAGACACTATACAGCTCAGACATACAAACAAAAAATGGAGATGAGTGATTAATGGTTGTGTGTCAAGTGATAGTGGCATCAGTGGCAGTCACAAAGGTCATGCTGGATATTGAACAGTATTTATGGTAAGTTGGGTGTCTGCGTTACCTCACTTAGTTCTTAGGAAGTAAGTCACTCTCCCTTCCAGACTGTCACACATTATTACATGTAATCAAAGCACAGAGAGGATACTTAGCTTTGGTGATGTTGGAAGCCACTTGTAGGGACGTACACCTGTAAGTCCATCACTCGGGAGGTAGAGTCAGGAGTTCAGGATCATTCTTTGCTTCACAGTGAGTTCGAGGCTTCCTTGAGCTGTATGAGGCCCTGTCTCCAAACAAAAGAAAAATAAACAACAATCAAAAAAAAAAAAAAAAAAGGAAGAAAGGAAGTAATGGAATCAGACCCCAAACTCTGGTGCTCTGGGTTCTGGCAGCTCTCAATAGTCACTGTGAAGGGGTACCGGGACCTTCATTCCTGGGGCCCCAACTAAGGTCTCTAGACAGAGACACTTTTTAGATGATCCCAGAAAGCTAGTGTCCTGACTCCCCACCCCACCCCCATGTGTGCATGAGTGTGTGTGTGTGTGTGTGTGTGTGTGTGTGTGTGTGTGTTTTGGAGAGGAGAGGAGACTGCAGGTGAAGAAGTCATTGGTTTTGTGGGAACACTCCATCCTCCCACCAAAAAAAAAAAAAAAAAAATCACTCCATTCTGGTGGTTAGCCTCCCTCCTAGAGTCTCTCTCTCTACTTCAGGTCATGGATGTTTCTCGAAACTTGTCCCTGCCTGCCTCTGGCTTCCTGCTGCAGCCTGCATTCTCCTTTGTGTCTGTGAGGCACACTGGGTTCCAAAAGAGCCGGTTTTGCCTGAGGCAGATGCTTCTACTTTCGGATTTGGTCCCTCTGCTGTCCTCCTGACTCTGGCGATGCCTTCTGGAGCGCGCCGGTCCCCCCCCCCCCCGTGCCTGTGGCAAACAGCATGAGTAGAGAAGCCGCGAGGCACCTAAATAAACTTAACCTGTCTCCCCAGTACTTCCAATTTCCAGGCTAGACTCTCTCCACAGGTTCTCACACAGCCTAGGCGGGCCTTCAGCTCTGCCTTCTGAGTGTCTGGAGCACAGGCAGGAGTCACAACACCTGCTCTGTAGGATGCTGGGGATAAAACCCAGCACCTGTGCATGCCGGGCAGCACCACATGAACTGGGTATGGTGGGGCACACTTGTAATCTCAGCACTTGGGCAGTAGCAACTGGGGGATCAGAAGTCAAGATCATCCTAGCTACAGAGAAAATTTGAGATCAACCCTGGAGTACATGAGACCCAGTCTCCAATTTAAAGAGGCAAAGCATCCCCCTAATGAAAAAGAAGAAGAGGCAAAGAAAGAAGTTTATACTGCAAGACCCACTTTGCTTCTGGTTGCTCTGGTGACTGCTTGCTTGTCTCTTGAGACCTCGTTTTGTCATGATACAGTCACCACACAGGGTTCCCGTGCTGTCCCTGGTCCAAGAGCCATGACACTGATACCTTTTTTGCTTCTCCCTGTCTTCCCCACAGCACTGTGGCCATGCCCACCTCCGTGCTGTGGGCAGTGGACCTCTTCGGGAGAGTGTATACCTTATCCACAGCTGGCCAGTACTGGGAGCTTTGCAAGGATGTCCAGATGGAGTTCAAGCGGGTCAGTGCGGCCACTCAGTGCTGCTGGGGCATCGCCTGCGACAACCAGGTCTACTTGTATGTGTGCTCTAGTGATGTACCCATCCGCCACCGAGAGGAGGCCTATGAGAATCAGGTAGTGCTTGCTGGGTGTGTGGGGGATTGCTGAGGTGGTCCGTTCCCATCTGCCTAGTTCCTAAGACCGTCTCTGTGTCCCCTGGCCTCAGCGTTGGAACCCCATGGGAGGCTTCTGTGAGAAGCTCCTGCCAAGTGACCGCTGGTCGTGGAGTGACGTGAGTGGGCTCCAGCATCGGCCGCTGGATGGGGTAGCGCTGCCCTCGCCACACTGGGAATGGGAATCAGACTGGTATGTGGATGAGAATTTTGGAGGGGAGCCCACCGAGAAAGGGGTAGGTGAACTCAGTACCCTCCATGGATGCCTCTTGGGCTCAGCTTGTCCCCCAGGACCACCCTCCCTGTTGGTGTCCAAACTTTGCTCGCTATGGGATTGGACACCCTATTCCCTTTTTCCTTCCCCTTATTCCTCCACCTTCCCATCTCTTCAGATTCCCCTCCTCTCCTGCTAGGCCAGATAAGGCTCCAACCTTGGTATTTCAGGGGTGGACATACGCTATGGACTTCCCTGCCACCTACACCAGAGACAAAAAGTGGAATTCATGCGTGCGGAGGCGAAAGTGGATCCGGTATAGGAGATACAAATCCCGGGACACCTGGGCCAAGGTCTTTGTGCCTACATGGGACATGGGGGTGGGGTATAGGGTCTCTGATAGAAGGGTCACAAAGGTAGGCATCTTCATCCCTCCACAGGGGCAGAAGGGGGAACCGTTCCCACCCTAGGATTTGACCTTTGATTTATTTGCTGTCACAGAGCCTTGAGGCCCTACAAGTCCCCTCATTTGGGAGATGGCCACATTGGGGCCAAAGTTAGCACAGAACTTGCCCTTCCTTAGGCTTCCCCTCCCTGACCAAGGTGCTAGTGCTGTCTCCACGACTCAGCTCAAATCGGTGGCTTAGGTCTGGTGTCTGATGAGGGGGGCAGAACAGAGGGTATCCATGGCCAGGTCCACAGGCCTGTAGTCTTATGGCTGCCTTCTTCATGAAGTCATGCAGTATGGACCACACTGAGGGTAGAAGGACTAGAGGAGAGGCAGGCAGGGGAGGGAGAATGACATAGTACAGGTCACCAAGTAATGACAGCAATCGCTTCTCACCCCTTTGTTTCAGATTCCCTCAAAGGATGACCCCAAGGAACTCCCTGACCCCTTCAATGACCTGTCTGTGGGAGGCTGGGAGATCACAGAGGAACCTGTGGGCCGCCTGTCAGTGTGGGCTGTGTCCCTACAGGGAAAGGTAAGTCCCACTACCGCAGTGCCCAAGATTTGACACGGCAAAAGAGGCCAGCTGCAGGCTGGAGTGGCGCAGGGGTTCCCCAAAGTGGAGGAAGAGAGCTCATTGCCTCCTGCCCCTGCAAGCCTTGGGACCTGTCCCTCCTCCTGGCCCACTTTGGGCTCAAATGTAATCAATTCTGTCTCCTTGGACAGATTCTGGGCTCCCTGCCAACATCCTTCCTCCAGTCTCCTGGAGCGTCGTGAATGTATGGGTGGGTGGATGGCTGATGTATGGAGAGATTGATGGTGCGTAGCTAGATGGATGATGGTGGGTATATAGACGGAGAGATGATGTATAGATGGGTGGTAAGTGGATGTGAATATATGACAGAAGACTCGTGAGTGGGTGGGCGGGTAGATAGATGACAGGAAATGGATAGGTCAGTGGTTGGACAAATGGATGGTGGGTGAGTGAGTGGTTGGGTGGATGGTTGACTGGATGATGGGTGTGTAGATGAATGAGAAGTGAGTAGGGGGATGAGGAGTGGGTCAAGTGGTTGATAGGCAGGATGATGGTTTAATGTATTTTGTGTGGGTAGAGGGTAGATTGATGGCGGGTGAGTGGATGGTAGGTGTATAGATGGATGGTGAGGGATGGATGGATGGATGGATAAATGGATGGATGGATGGGTGGGTGGGTGGGTGGATGGATAAATGGATGGATGGGTGGGTGGGTGGGTGGATGGATAAATGGATGGATGGGTGGGTGGGTAGGTGGATGGATAAATGGATGGATGGGTGGGTGGGTAGGTGGTAGGTATGTAGATTGGTAGGTGATGGATAGATGCATGTTTAGAGAGAAATCTTTTCTCAGAGAGTCTGTAAGAAACAACAAGGCTGGATGGTCCCAAGCATAGAAGTCTGATGCCTTCCTTGTGGTTTTGGAGCTTATTTCATGACTGTTCAGTAACTCCTGCATTAACCACATTAACCACAAGTCTCCACTGACTTTGGAACAGTCAAAGCAGATTGTTTTTAGCAGCTTACCTTGGGCTGGTGTTGTGCTCTCTTAGGGTTAGGTGAGCCTCTGAGCCTCTCTGAAGGGTGGTGGAGAGGGCGAGTGGGATGGGAGGGGTGAGCGAGCAGGCTGAGAGCAGTGGAGAGGGGCAAGCTGGATGAGAGCTGGATAAGAGCTGGAGACGTCTCACCTGGGTGCAGGTGGAAGGTGGAGTGGGGGGCCACACACACCTGTGCACCTGTGTTTGCGTTACCCGAGTATCAGCTGTGTGCTCCAGGAGAGGCGGTCCCAGGACCCTGTCCTCCAGAAGGGAAAGACTTGTTCCTTGAAACTGCCTTCTTGGTAGCAAAAGGGAGGCTTCCCAGGGCTGGTCCTGAAGGGTTGGTCATAAGGGTAGGTTGGCAAGACCAGAGAAGTCAGGGTCCCTATGCTGAAGACAGCTCTGTGGAACCATCTCCCCTAACCCCCTTTACGTGAACTAAATCAACTGCATAGGTATATGCTGTCAATCCCAGCTACAGAGCCTATTCTGTAGATCCTTTGAGAGTTCATCTCACCGGAGTCAGAATTGCTATCATCAAGAAAGTAATGGACAACAATCGTTGGCAAATATGTGGGGAAAGAGGAATTTCATTGTTCAGGTTAAAGAGCAAAAGAAGAGGACATTTTAAACATTGGGTTTCCCTGGTGTTTAAACCACCCTGACCTTCCCCTGTGACAGGTGTCCTAGGCGCACAGGGCCACTAGGGGGCACAGGTGTCATGGACTGCCTGGGAGATGCTGAGGGCTCCTTGCTGACACTGGAATCTGCTTATCCAGGCTTTTCACTTTCTCACCAGTGTGTGCGTGTGTGTATGAGTGTTTCAGAGACCCCCATATGTGGCCTGTGCAGGTAGACATATTTGGTGATGTGAATACCATATTTTCTTCTCTCCTCCTAGGTGTGGTACCGAGAGGATGTCAGCCACCCCAACCCAGAAGGCTCCTCCTGGTCTCTTGTGGATACCCCAGGGGAGGTGGTCCAGATCAGCTGTGGGCCCCACGACCTTATATGGGCCACCCTCTGGGAGGGACAAGCCCTGGTCAGAGAGGGAATCTGCAGGAACAACCCAAAAGGTAGCCAGCCCCATAACAGGAAGTGGGGTGCTTCCTATCCAGAATCTTGGCTGATGGAGGCTGCCTGGGGTTTCTCTGGGGACTTGCAGGAAGTTCCTGGTCCATAGTGGAGCCACCTGGGTCTGAAAACGGTATTATGCACGTCTCCGCGGGAGTCAGTGTGGTCTGGGCCATCACGAAGGACCGCAAAGTAAGAGCTGGGGGCTGGGTGGGTAATGGTGCCATTTAATACCAAGGGCTTCTGATCTTGTGAGGATTGTCTAAGCCCATTAGCATAAGTCTATGAGTTTTTTTTTTTTTTCTTTTTGAGATGGTGTATTAAACTGGCCTTAAGCTCTTGATCCTCCTGCTCAGATAACAAATGCATACCATCATACCTGGTTGATGCTGTGACCCATGTGGCGTCATTCATGCCAAGCAAATCCTCTACCATCTGAGCCACATTCCCCAACCCAGTCTGTGAGCTTTTCCTACTGTTGAAATCATCACCCATCTCCAGGATGTTTGACACTGGCTCATGGTACCTCACTTGCATCCCTGGACTAAAATGCTGAACAACCATGTTTATTATCCCATAGGCCAATCACTTCAGATAATGGGAAGCCAATATGCCAGCAACTTTGGCCAATCAAATGCTTCTCTCTCCTCTTTTGTCACTTGTGTCTTATCAGAGGCAGGTCCAGTCAAGTGAGCCAGTTTTATATGCTTTTGTGAAAGTAAATTCTGTCTGTCCATCTGTCATCTTCCTGTCTATTGTGATGCTGGGGGAAGGGACCTAGGGTCTTGTATATCGTGGGTTCGTTCTAACTATATATGCCCGGGCTATTCCTGTCAATCCAATATCTTAAAAGGATTTTTCTGGAATGAGCCAGTGAGGCGATTCAGTGGGTAAAAGTGCGTGCCACCAAACCTGGCGACCTGAGTTCAAGCCCTAGGAGGCACATGGTGGAAGGAGAGAACCAACCCCCACAGTTGTCTTCTGACCTCCACGTGCAAGCTATGACACATGTCCCTCTTTGTCCCTCCCCAAATAAATAAGTAAAAACACAATGAAAACCTCCCTTCAGATTCGGAGGTGGCTCAGTTGGTAAAACACTTGTCTTGCTATCATGAGGACCTGAGTCCCAGCTCTAGAATCAATGTAAAAGTGCTGGGCGTGCTGGTGTGTGCTGAGCATGCTGGTGAGTGCTGGGAATGCTGGTGTGTGTTGGGTGTGCTGGTTTGCACTTGTGATCCCAGTGCTGGGAGGTAGAAACAGATGGAGCCTAGAGCTTGCAGGCCAGCCAGCCAAGCTTACTTGGCAAGGTCTAAGTTGGTGAGACCCCCTGTTGAGAAAAAACCAAGATGGATGGCACTTGTAGAATGACAGAGGAAGTTATCCTCTATCCTGCACAAGTATCTGCATGCTCGAGCACACACATACACACACGCGCGCGCACATACACACACACAGGCAGACACACAGACACACACAGGCAGGCAGACAGATACACACACACACACACACACACACACACACAGAGGCAGACACACAGACACACGCAGGCAGGCAGACACACACACACAGACCTGCCTCCAAAGATCTCCAGGGATACATGTTTCTTTCTCATTTTGCAGGTGTGGTTCAGGAGGGGCGTCAACTCTCACAACCCCTGTGGCACCAGCTGGATCGAGATGGTTGGAGAAATGACAATGGTGAACGTGGGGCTGAATGACCAGGTAGATATGCACATGGTTCATGGGACTCCTGCTACAGTTTATCTACCTGCCACCCTACTGTCCCTTCTCCCCCAGCAGGGACTCCAGATGGGCACAGTGAGGAGTCTGAGGGTACACAGGGTGGGGGGTTGTGGGTGGGGGACTGGTTTCCAGAGTTCTGGCGTCTCTATTTGGCTCAGGGTCACTTCACTTAGGACCCTGCAGGGCAGTCTGCTGGTGAGGGAGGGTGGGGCATGCATCCTAGATATAAGAAGGTAGCAAAAGTTCAAGGTCATTTTTGGTGACATAAAAAGCTAGGTGAAGCTTTATCTCAAAAAATAAAACTAGAGACTGGAGAGATGGCTGAGCAGTTAGGAGCACATACTGCTCTTGCAGAAGAGCCAAGTTCCATTCCCTGAACCCATTTTGGGGCATCTCACAACCACCTATAATCAAGGGATCCAATGCCTTCTTCTGACCTCCGTGGGCCCCTGTATTCATATGCATGTACCTACACATACACACAAAAATAAGCATAATTACTATTTTTTAATTAAGACAAAAGCACCAGTGGATTCTGTGTCCCAGGACAGAATTCATCAGCCCTCTGTTTACTCTGGACCTTGTCATCCCAGAGCCCCAGTCTGAAGTTTTAGAGCCCTGGAGCCAGGCTTCTGGTTCTCCTGGGTTTGCTGCTACCCCTCCCCTTCCCCAGCCAGTCTTCTCCTGCCTGGATTTCTGCAGTCACCCCCCCCCCACCAGACATTCCTAGCCCTGACAAACACTCATGCATGCCCACCACATCATGATAAGGTGACTCCTGCCTGCATTTGCATATCTGTCCTACAGCTCTGTCGGGCACTCCTGGACCCTCCACTCTTCCCCAGCCTCTGGCAGGAGGGGTAGGAGCTCCAGGTCTGTGCCCAACTGCCTCTCAGCAGCACCCGTCTGTTCTAGGTCTGGGGCATCAGCTGTGAGGACCGAGCTGTGTACTTCCGACAGGGTGTCACCCCCAGTGAGCTCAGTGGGAAGACGTGGAAGGCCATCATTGTGGGACGAGAAAGTGACCGGTCACACTCTGGCAGCTCATCCAGTCTCCTCAGGTGACCCAGGGCAGCAGGGCACAGAGTTGGGTGGAACAAGCTGTCTGTGGCCTCAGGGGGTGCAAGGCCAATCAATGACCTGCAAGAAAATCAGTCTCTGTCAGAAGATTGTGAGTTCTAGACAAGCCTGAGCCACACAGGAGACTTTGTTCCAACAAAAGCAAAAGGAGAAAAGAAAAAGTTCTGTAGTTAGGAGTCCTAATCATACCTCGAATGCTGTGATAATATACTCTAACCAGAAGCAATTTAGTGGGAGAAAGGGTTTATTTCTTCTTACAGGCCATAGTCCATCATTGAAGGAGTCAAGGCAGGAACTTGAAGGCAGGCCTGCTTGCTGGCACACATGTTGAGAATTACCTCTGACCAAAGACGTTACAGCTGAGTGAGGAGTTACAGCCTCAACTATGCAAGAACGCTGCTCACGGGCTTGCCCACAGATGCTTGCCTATCTAGCTTTCTTATTTAGTCTGGGACCACTTGCCCAGGGAATGACACTGCCCACAGTGGGCTGGGCCCTCCTGTGTCAGTCAATATCAACTCCTCCACAGATTTGCCCACACAGGCTAATATGATCTAGGCAATTCCTCAGTTGAGAGTCACCTCCCAAATGACTGATTCTAAGTTAGTAAGGTTGACAGTTAACACTAACCAAGACACTGGGGAATGGTAACAGTTGCACAAAGTTTTAAGTGTGTGAAATGTTACTAATTGTATGCTTTAAAGTAGTCAGTGTAGCCCAGGGATGGTAGAATACATACACCTGTTATCCCAGTGCTTGGGGATGTGGCCGCAGGAGGGTCAAATTCAAGGTCATCCTTAGCTACATAGTGAATATGATGCTAACACCCTGTTTCAAAACAGCAACAACAGAAAAGGTAGCACATGCCCATCACTCAGAGACTAAGGCAGGTGGATCACAAGTTCAAGGGCTGCCTGACTACAGAGGGAGTTCAGATTACCTACAAAGGTAATTTAGTGAGGTCATTTTAAAATACAAAAGTACAGCCAGGTGGTGGCTTTAGTCCCAGCACTCAGGAGGCAGAGATAGATGGATCTCTGTGAGTTCGAGACCAGCCTGTTCTACAGAGGGAGGTCCAGGATAACCAGGGCTACACAGAGGAATAAATAAATAAATAATAAATAGAAAGAGCCTGGAGGTGTAGCTCTTTGTTAGACCACTTTTCTAGCCCTGGATTTAATCCTCATTCCAATAACAACAACAACAACAAAAACAGAAGAAAGGAACTCTCAGATGTATTTTGCCTTCATCAAAGAGACACCAGAGAGCCAGTGATGTCGCTGAGTTGGTACAGTGCTTGCTTGATGTGTGTGAAGTCATCCTCAACACCACATGAACTGGATATGGTGGTGTACACCAGTGATCCCAGCATTTGGAAGGTAGAGGCAGGAGGATCAGGCATTTAAGGCCATCTGTGGTTATATAATGAGTTTGAGACCAGCCCTGGGATACACGAGACCCTGTCTCCAAAACGAAACAGTGCCAACAAGGAACTCCAGTTGAGTGTTGTGGTATATGCCTGTAATCCTAGCATTCAGGATTGCTAAAAATTCAAGGGTAGCCTGGGCAACATGGACTGTAGCCTGTCTGTGTACCGAAGGATGGCCTTGAACTCCTAATCCTCCTGCCTCTGCCTCCATCAAACTGCGATGACAGGCATGCACCTAGTTTTATGGGATGCTGAAGATCTTTCTCCCATTCCAGGCAAGCACTTTACCAATTGAGCTATATCCCCAGCCCATCTAAAGACAGCAACAAATACACACCCCCTCAACCCTTTGGTCTGGGATGTGATGGGGTCTTCCAGCTCCTGGAAGCAGAGTCCACATGTGCTGTATGTACTACAGGAGCAGTAGACGAGAGCTCCGGGGGCTTGTGACGTGGCTGCATCCACACAGTTAGCTACAGTGGTAAAACACATCTTCCACCAGAAAGTGAGTTTGTCCTATTTCATCCCCAGTGCTGGCTGCTTCTTTGGTGATGAGGTGAGGGGCAGTGGTACCGAATCTGCACCTAGTGATACCGACGCCTCCTCAGAAGTGGAGAGACAGGGTCCTGAACAACCTCTCCCCAGAGAATCTGTGAACAATTCCAGGAACCTGAAAGGCAGTTTGCCCAAGGGCCCAGAGACCAGCAGGAACACTGAGCAAACCATGGAGGATGCCTGCCTAGATGACAGCAAAGGGAAGGCCCCCGAGGCCTCTGGCATTGATGAATGCCATGGCCCAGCCTCCACACCAGCTGAGCTGCCCTGGACCAACATTGACCTAAAGGATCCCAAGAAAGTGTCTAGCCAGCCATCTACAAGCTTTCCCGAGACGGCAGGCCTCTCCTCCCTGGGGCTCTTCCCACTGGGCATGGAGGAGCCCTATGGGGCAGATGACCATCCTCTATGGGCCTGGGTGTCTGGAGGTGGATGTGCAGTGGAGGCATGCTCCGTGCTCAAGTGGTTCACTATCCAGTCAGGTAAGGGAGCTCACGGGACTGGTGGGTGTCTGTGGCTGCGTGGGGCAGGTATAGGTTTGCCTGAGGACTGCAGCAGATTCACCACCCTGCCTGAAGGCTCTGTGCTCAGCAAGCTTAACCAAGACCCCGGGCCAGTCTTTGGCCTAACGAGGTTCCAGGCAGGAAGGCTCACAGAACAGTTTGTAAATTGAAGTAGTTTGTAAGATTGGAGGTAGGGAGATGTCTCAGCAGGTGTAATGCTTGCTGTGCAAGCATGAGGACCTGAGTTCAGATCCCTAGAAGCCATAATAAAAGTAGACTATGTCAGTATATGCCTGTAACCCCAATGTTGGGGGTTTACTGGCTAGGCAACTAAAACAGTAAGAGACCCAGTCTCAAAAAATAAAAAGGTAAGGTGGAGCAATGAATTGAGAAAAGATACCCCGCCATCAACACACACACACACACACACACACACACACACACACACACACGAGAGAGAGAGAGAGAGAGAGAGAGAGAGAGAAAGAGAGAGAGAGAGAATTTTAAGGCTGATTTGGGGATTGTTTGTAGTTCCCTTTCTCATTGCTGGGACAAAACACCTGCCAAGGAAAGTTTAGGAGGGAGAGCTTATTTTGGCTCATGGTTCACATGTGCAGTGCATCGTGGTGGAGGGGATTCACATTGCTTTCACAGTCAAGAAACAGGGATGGATGCTGTTTCTCCTTTTCATTCAGGCTGGGGCCTCAACTCCTGGGATGGTGCCACCCAAATTCAAGGGGGGTCCACCCATCTCAGTTAACCCTGTCTAGAAACTCCTTCACTGGGTCTAGGTCCTGTCAAGATGGACCATCACAGGGATGGAGGTGTAGGGAACCACAGTCCCTCTTGTGCAGCATCAGGCAGGATGGCACCTTGGTCTCTTGCAGGCCTGTCCCCCTCAGTGCAGACGCTGTCCCTATCCATCACACCCGCCCAGACCGCAACCTGGAGGAAACAGATCTTCCAGCAGCTCACAGAGAGGACCAAGAGGGAGCTGGAGAGCTTCAGACACTATGAGCAGGCCGTGGAGCAGGTAGGACCAGATGGTTCTGCCACACTCTTTTTCTGTGTGTTTATTTAGAGATAGGGGCTCACTGAACCCCCACACTAGCCTGGAACTCATTCTGCAGCCCAGTCAAATGTCACACTGGTCATCCAACTGCCTCAACCTCCCGAGTGCTGGGCTCACAGGCACTCACCATCACACCAGCTCCTACTCATTTAATGATTGCTTCTTTGCAATATGCCAGCTCTGATGCAGGGTCTTAAGAGTAGAAACATTGTTCCACCTGCCCAGAGGTGCTTCCAGGCTCCAAGGCAGAGCCAAGGATAAGGAATCGAGGTGGTGGTTTATTCATGTAACTTGAAGGACTTTTATTGGGGTCCCACCACCTTCAAGATACCCTGTGTGCCCTGGGAAACCAGCATCCTCAGAGGACAGTGGATAGGAAGGAGAAAGGCAAACCGTGTCAACTTTGTCCTCTTCCAGGAACTTAAACTTGCAGTGGTAGTATTTTGATGAACTGGGCCAGGATGAAACTGTAAACAGTCACTGCCCTCTCCAAGGTCACCTTCCTTGGCATTCCCCCTACCCTCGGAGGCAATGACCCAACCTCAGATGCCACAGTCAAGCCAGGGAGAGAGAAATTAAATAGCACACAAGAAGCCTTGGCCCATGCTGACCCAGAAGCTTGTAGGCCTTTGCGTCTAGGCAGCCTGAGACTTTTATTGCTAGCATTGACTCCCTCTAGGACTTTGGCCAGGTGTGACCTCTCCCTTGAGCCTCAGTTTCCCTATCCAGAACATGGGCTAAGGATGTATTCACGCTAAGACAGCTGTGTATATGGTTCCACCTAGTGTCCATTTGTGGCACTGACGTCTTTAATGGAAGAGAGAAGATACTAGGAGGGCGGAGAACTGGGGAGTGGGGTGGGGGTACGACCAAGGGCTAGAATAGCTCTAAGGCTCTGAGAAAGAGCTGCCTGTGACCTCTGCTCCCTGCCCTCCATCTGTGCCACAGTCAGTGTGGGTGAAGACCGGGGCCCTGCAGTGGTGGTGTGACTGGAAGCCCCACAAATGGGTGGACGTCCGTGTGGCCCTGGAACAGTTCACAGGGCATGACGGGGCTCGAGACAGCATCCTCTTCATCTATTACATGATCCATGAGGAAAAGAAGGTACAGAGTGGGAAGCACCTGTCATCAAGGGATGGTTTCCCAAAGAGGGACACGTGCTGTAGGCCTTTGAGGTGCTTACTCCAGAACCTATCCTCATCGGCAAAGTCCCAGGTGGGCACATGTGTAGTAGTAGCCTGTGCTGGCCTCACCAAACCAGCAGCCACCTTTTTTTTTTTTTTTTTAAATTCAAATACTGCTGCATATTTTCCTAGTCCTTTTATTTATTTTGAGACAGGGCCTCACTAACTTAGCTAGCCAGGCTTGGAACTCACCATGGAGCCCAGGGTGGCCTTGAACTCACCGTCTTTCAGCGTCACCCTCCCAGGTGCTAGGTTTACATGTTTGAATCATACTTGGCCAGACTTTGGCCCCTGAGATGAGGTTAGAAGGTTGGAGAGATGAATCCTAGTCTCACATGTGCTGGGCAGTCCACTTAAAACCATTTTTTAAAGGAGGGGCAGGTGGGAAACAGGCTGTCATACACCACCATGCCTGGTCTGTGTGGTTCTGGGGACTGAACTTGGTGCATGCTAGGCAAGCACTCTATGAACTGAGCCACAGTCTCAGCTGCAAAGCATTTGTTTATCAGGGATAGCTTCATCACTAGCAATTGAGTCATGAGGCCCAAGAATGAGATTAGGGGGGTGTCCTTGCCTAAGGTGATAGTCTCACCATGCACGCCCATCCCAACAGTACCTGCACGTGTTCCTAAATGAGGTGACTGTCCTGGTCCCTGTGCTTAATGAAGCCAAGCACTCCTTTGCCCTCTACACTCCTGAGAGGACACGACAGAGGTGGCCTGTGCGCCTGGCTGCCGCCACAGAGCAAGACATGAATGACTGGGTGAGTGACAGGGCTCCGGAAGGGCTTAGTGAGAACTGACCACCCAGGCCTCAGTCTGCCCGGCAGTGACCAGCTGTATACCCACGCCAGCTCGCCTTGCTCAGCCTGTCCTGCTGTGAGAGCCGGAAGGTCCATGGACGCCCATCCTCACAGGCCATCTGGTCTGTCACCTGCAAGGGTGACATCTTTGTGAGCGAGCCCAGCCCAGACCTGGAAGCCCGTGAGCACCTGCTACCTTGCGACCAAATGTGAGTCATACATACACCCAACCCCATGTGTTTCAAGAAAAGGCTCCCCTAGCAGGACCTGAAGCAACCACTGTGGCTTCTCACTGACCAGCCAGGAAAGTGGTTAGCTATTGTCCTGGACCCTGAGACCCACTGGACCTGTTCAAGGCTGGGCTCAGAGGTCAGTGGTATCCACCAAGCAGCTCTGGAACATCCTGGGGTACTTGTGGAGTGTGGTGCATGGGATCTAGGGGCTTCCATGGTGAAAGCAGAGAAACATCTCCCTCACCAGACTGAATATGGCAGCTCAGTCCCTTTCCAGTTCTGCTAAGACTGTGCAGTGTGGGCACCCTGGAAGCAGAGAGGAGAGGAAGGAATTTGGAGTGTGTCTAAGGGTGGAAGTTTTGGGTGTGGGGCAGAGAAGCTCTTGGGAGAGTGGGGATGGATTCCCATTGCCTTTAGATATGGGAGGGGGTAATCCTGGAGCAAGAGGTTCTCTGTTGGGGCATGTAAAACCATGGAGTGGGTAGGAGGACACTGAGTATTTCAGTTGTTAGAGTATTTGCCTAGAATGCAGAAACCTTGGGTTCAATCCTCAGTACCTCATAAACTGAGCATGCCTTTAGGAGGTAGAAGCAGGAGTTCAAGATTATCCTTAGCTGCATAGTGAGTTTGAGGACAGCCTCGGATCCGAGAGACAATTCAAGAGGTTCTGAAGGACAGGTAGGAGCAGGGATCTGGGGAGGGAGAGGGCAGGTGAGGACTGCCAGGGAAGCTCTGGGTTCCCTTATCAGTGACCACAGTCATGCCTAGGAATCATAGGCCCAAATGTCCCATGGGTAGCCGCTGCACTCATCACTTCTGGTGGCAGAGGCAGAGCCTACAGAAAACCAGCCCATCTTCCTGCTTCGGAGATGGCTGTCCCCGGGTAGCCTCCCTAGGATGGCGCTCGGAAGCCAGCTGGCCACACTGTTCCTCACACAGAGGATTAAATGGCATGTTCCCTGCTCCCTGCCATGACATTTAAGCCTGGCTGCACCTGGCACACTGTGACCACCCCCTGCTCCACTTCCCAGCTGGGAGCATTGTGGAGTGGACTACAGAGTCCTATTCAGTGGTCAGTGTGGCCCAGGGGTGAGGAGGATGAGCTCTTAGGGATCCCTGGCCTCTTGTATGTCACTCTAGAATTGGTTAACTCAAACAGGAGCCAAGTGGGCTGTCCGTTGCACTGGCGTAAAGGTCTCAGACTTGTGGTAGATAGCCAAGTGAGGTGTTGGATAACTGGCTGAGGGGCTTTTATCACCCCTGTAGGTTCTGGCGGCAGATGGGAGGCCACTTGCGAATCATAGAGGCCAACAGCCGAGGTGTGGTGTGGGGCATTGGCTATGATCACACAGCCTGGGTATACACTGGCGGCTATGGCGGAGGTTGCTTCCAAGGTGAGGGTGACCCTGAGCACCTGAGGCTGGCAAGATTAGTTCCCAAAACCTTCTGGGCATAACCTCTCCTAATCCCATCTGGCTATCCTTCCCAGTGCCCAGGGCTGCTGTCCCAGTATCGACGCTTAAACAACTGGCTGACAGGTGACCTTCACCACTGCCAGCCTCCACAGAGCCCAGTCCACGGCACGGCGCTTGAGAACCCAGAGAATAGGCCTAGCCTCTGAGATACCCTCTGGGGTCCCAGAGAGGAACAGCAGCTGCCAAGGTCCTCTAGTATGTTTAGCACCTCATTTCATAGATGAAGTCACAGAGTACTTTGGGATAACCCCAGAACCCATGCTCCCAGATTGTGCCAAATTCCTGAATTTTTAGGGAAAGTGAGTCATCCCTATCACAGGGGTCGCCAAATTTAAGGTGTAAGGTAGAGACAAAACCAAAGTGTGAGGCCACAGACCTGATACCCCATGGTGGAGGAGCAGCTGACCCTGGAGAACTGTGGTCCACCAAGACCATAGGAGCCTACAACCTCACAGGCCAAAGGACCTTTAGACAGGAATGACTCTGGTCTCTGTTCTGCCTTTGAGGACATCCAGACTCACAGAGGTCATATGTGTGGGTCAAGGTAGCTTTGCTAATAGGTGAGCTGGGCAGGAACCTGCTGCACACTAGACAGGAAGACAACAGGGCAGCAGGGTGTCTAAGAATGGAGGGGGCTGGGTGTGCCGTCACCTGCCTTTGCTTCCAGCAGTCGGGAAGCAGAAGCCAGCAGATCTCTGTGTATTTGAGGCCTGTCTGGGACATTAGTGAGACCATGTTGCACATCGCTCCTATGGAAGCTTTGTGGTCCTAAAGGAATTATGAACACACAGGAGACAGAAACCCAAGCGAGGCTGGCCCCTTTGAGATCATCCTCCCTGGCTCTGATCTGTCCTTCTGACCTGATTCAGACAGAAAGCCCAAGTCCCTGGCTGCAGCCTCAGAGTCCTGGCTACTGGCCTGGGTCCTAGGAGCCTCTTCTCCCCTCTTCTCCAGGCCTGGCCAGCAGCACCAGCAACATTTACACACAGTCAGATGTGAAGAGTGTCTACATCTACGAGAACCAGCGTTGGAACCCTGTCACGGGCTATACCAGCAGGTGGGTGGCATGGATGCTTGGCGAAGGTGCTGTCTGGCCCAGGCCACAATCCCGACAAAAGCTGGGCAGCAATGTTCAGTGTAACTTGGACTGGGGTCAAGGTCTCCAGCCTAGGAATAATTAAATGGTGTGTCTTTTTCGGTAAATGGGCAAGTGTGTGTGTGTGTGTGTGTGTGTGTGTGTGTGTGTGTGTGTGTGTGTGTATACACATCCCACCTTCTTTCTCTAAGATTTATTTTATTTTCATTTATGTATTTATTTTTTATTCTTTTTTTATATTTATTTATTGAGGCACAGTTTCTCTGTGTAACAGTTATGCTGTCCTGGAACTCACTCTGTAGATTTGGCTGGCCTCAAACTCACAGACATCTGCCTGCCTTTGCCTCCCAAGTGCTGGGATTAAAGGCGTGCACCGCCGCCACCACCACCTGGCTTATTTAATTTTTAAATTGTGTGCGTGTGTGTGTGTGCGCGCACACGCACGCACACACAAGTTTGTGAACGTGAGAAGAATGCTGGGTCCCTGGAGCGGGATTTGCAGGCTGTCGTGAACCTCCTAACGTGGGTGCTGGGAAACAAAGTCAGGTCCTTAATGAGAGCAATACAAGCTCTTGATCCCCCTGACCAACTTTACATGGGTTCCGCGGATTGGTATTGAGTCCTTGTGCTTGCCAGGGTAGTCTTTTACCAACTGCAGTTTCCCCAGACTCTTCCCTGTAAATGAAGTTCTTAATTGCTCTAGATAATAAAAAGCAGGAGTCAGATATAGAGGGAAACGCTGAGAGACAAGCTAGAAGGAGCAAGCCACAGCGCACCTTACCTCCTTCGTGTCTCCGCAGAGAAGACAGTGATTTCCTGTTTCTTCCTGCTTATGTCCTGTTTCTGCCCAGCTATGTCACTTCCTGTCTGTCTGTACAGACCTCCAGACCTCTATGGTTAGCTAGTGGCAAGCTCCATTCTCTGACCCCCAGACAGGCTTTATTTGTACAAGGAAGATGTTATCACACTTCCCCTTCTTCTTAAACTTTATCCTTAGACCCCCATCTCTATAGAAAGATTGCTTTCTATAAAACTCATACTACTCTTGCCAAATACCTGAGTCTGTTCACCCACATCAGCTGCTAACATAACCTCCTATGAGTCCAGCTCTCTGCTGACCTTTGCAGCACCTGCACCAAGGCATATTCATACACAGATCTATACAAATACACATATGTGACTTTTGTTTATTTGTTTTTCAGGACAGAGTTTCTCCGTGTAGCCATGGCTATCCTGGAACTTAACTCTGTAGACCAGGCTGGCCTCGAACTCACAGAGCTCTGCCTGCCTCTACCTCCCAAGTGCTGGGATTAGAGGTGTGCACTACAACACTTGGCTGGGAATACATTCCTTAAAATTTAAAACTAAAATATAAATAAAAGACATAGACCGTTAATCTCCCTTCCCTAAACCTTCAAGGTGGCAAGATTAATCATCCCCAGCCAGGGCTAACACAAAGAAACCCCATCTCAAACAAACAAAAAAGATTAGCTGTCATTTCCAACTAAGGTCCCATCCGTGGTTACTGGGTGAGGTATGCAACATCTTGTGGGGTTGGAACACAACTATTAAGGCCATAACATAAGGGAAAAAGCCGACTCCCAGACCATGGCCTCAATAGATGGCTTAGTTGTTGAGCCTGGGCACTGTGGTGACAGGAGGTGATTTCAGTTGGTCTCCCAGCCCTGGAGCAATTCTGGTTTGCCCGTTACCGCCGGTGTGTGAATGGCTTTAGAGGTGGATCTTCAGGCAGCTCTGCTGCAATATTCCCAGCAGGAATGAGGTATAAATCTATAACCAGGAGTGTCTGGACCCTCTATCTTCATCCTACATCTGTTATCCCACTACAGGGGTCTGCCCACTGACCGGTACATGTGGAGTGATGCCACAGGGCTGCAGGAGTGCACCAAGGCCAGCATGAAGCCGCCATCCCTGCAGTGGACTTGGGTGAGCGCCGCCTCCCATGCATGTAATGTGTATGGTCTGCCAGCCCTGGCCCAGGTTTCTACTGGTCTGTGGGTTTTGAGAAGGGGATCTCCCATTCACACTGACTCGCTCTCCCCCAGGTCTCTGACTGGTATGTGGACTTCAGTGTGCCCGGTGGCACCGACCAGGAAGGATGGCAGTACGCCAGTGACTTCCCTGCGTGAGCATCTCTCTGCTCTGAGCTTCTGGGGCTGGGATCCTCTACCCCAGCCCAGCTGAGTAGCAGAACCTACCCCAATGCTGTTTTCTTAGCTGCTTCAGGGTTGGGGTGGGGGGGTCTCTGCCTACACCTTACATACAAATTTGGGACTGGTGGCTATCATACCGTATCGAGAGCCCCTGAGGCTGGGTCGGGCCCCTCTCAGTGCAGATGTCCAGTCAGAATAATGAGCCAGAAGAACCTAAGCCAGGGCCCCAGCTGGATGGCTTCTGAGCAGACTCGGGTGACAGTCCAGGTCATTCCTCTTGGGTGGCAGTAAGGCCTCTCAACCAGACCAAAGGCTCCTATTCCCTAAGCATGCTCTGATAGTGCTGGGGAGGCGACAGGCCCAGAGCCACTGAACCCAACAGGCCTCAGGGGACCCCTGACCACACTGAGGCAGCTAGGAGAGCGATATGAGGCCACAGCCACTCCTCTGCTTATGTGACCTAACATTGGGAAGAGAGTGTGTGCAGTGCAGTGTCATTTTCTAGAAAGTTCCACGAAGTGATCTTGACTGCACCGTTTCTTCCTCTTGCAGCTCTTACCATGGGTACAAAACCATGAAGGATTTTGTCAGGAGAAGGTGCTGGGCCAGGTGAGAGACAGAATTACAGGGTAGTGGGTTCAGCCCCACCCACTCCGCCCCCATTCTTCCTTTATGACTAGGGAAGGGGACGATGGTTTCTCTTGAGCCAGATCTGCTGGCCTCTGACTTAAGTCCCCAGGAAAGAAGCAGGGAGGGAGGGAGGGAAACCAGAGTCAAAGTAAATGTCAACCCAGGAAATGCCCGCGGGCTCCCAGCGCTCTGCTTTCTGAAGTTTGTTCTGAAGAACAAATAAATGTCACTGGCTGAGCTCTGCCTGTGGGCTGGAGGATGAGCTGGGGGAAGGGCAGAGGACAGCCAGGAACCCATCATTGCCACCCACTGGGTGCTCTGCCCCTCTGCTGAGCCCAGGAGTCTATGGTTCACCCCCGTCCCTGTCAGGGTCCTCCATCTCAGCTTCTGCATGCTGGGCTATGCCCGTGTCAGCAGCAGGCAGTGATGAGTGGTGAGATGTCCTGGGGCTTGCTGTCATGCCCAGTGCCTGGACTCAGGCTCATGTTTCCCTGAACAGAAAATGCAAGCTGGTGACCAGTGGGCCATGGCTAGAAGTGGCTCCTATTGCCCTCGGCGATGTGTCCATCATCCCAGAGAGTGCAGATGCGGATGGGCGAGGACACCACATTGCACTGTGGGCTGTCAGTGACAAGGGGGATGTTCTGTGCCGCCTGGGTGTGTCTGAACTCAACCCCGCGGTGAGCACCAGCCTCCTGGCCTTCAGGATTGTCCCTGTTTCTGTAGCATCTTCTGGACATCAGGATTCTTCCTTGAGAGACACCTGGCCTCAGGTTTCCCCAGACCTGCCCAGAATGGGTCCCCAGGGTGGGAGGATGTCATATGTAATCCAAATGAGGCAGGTAGCACAAAGGATGAGGTTGATATGGCGAGTTACCATCTCTCCAGGCCTGGGAGTGGGGTGAGGGTGGGGGTGTGGCCCAGGTGACACGGTGGCTCCTTAGCACCCTTGATGAAGTGCACAGGCTGTTATCTTTCCTCTGAGAGGTCCAAGGTATGCCAAGGTAGACTGTAGTTAGGACTAGGTCAGACCACGCTGGATGCCCTCCACCTCCCAGGCAGGCTTAGGTATATTTTACCCCCTTTGAGTCTCTGCCTCAGAGGAGGAGGCCAGATGGTCCCTGAGCTATCTCCCTTGCCCTTCCATCTCTAGGGTTCCTCTTGGCTACATGTTGGCACTGACCAGCCCTTTGCCTCAGTCTCCATCGGTGCCTGCTATCAGGTGTGGGCTGTGGCCAGGGATGGCTCTGCATTCTACCGGGGCTCTGTGTCACCCTCTCAGCCAGCTGGTGAGTGGTACCCACCCCCCACCTCTAGCCCCACTCTGGTGCAGCATGGGAAGAAGTTTCCCCTTTAAGATGGTGGGTGGGTCTCTTACTCAGTTCAGAGGGCTTCCACCGGAGCAGGCTCATGGGTGCGTTGGGCTCTTCCCTCAGAGGCCACCTTATCCACACAGGGACAGCCTGGGACAGCACCCCTGATGAGGGCTCCTGAGCTGTGGGATCACTCTTATTGTCTGGGGGCTTGAGCCGTGCTGGCCTTTGCTGGGTTTTGCAGGGGGTTGAAGGGCAGCCACTGAGTCCAACTCCCAACTAGGTGCCAGGCTAGGCACCTTCAAGTCACATGGACGAGGTGGGCTTGATATCAGAATCCAGGATGGACCCCAAAGGACCCTGGACAAACCTGGGGTAGTGGATGGATGGCAGAGCCTGAGGTGACCTTACATGACCCTCAGCCTACATACTGAGCCCAGCCACACATTAGTTCAGCTGGGGTAGAAGGCTGGCTAGAAGGGCTTTGGAGCACTATACAGGCCTGGGTTTACACTCACAGGTGTGGGGTCTCCTGATAACCTCCTGAGGCTGCTTTCCCATCACAGGTGACTGCTGGTACCACATCCCATCTCCTCCCAAACAGAAGTTGACACAGGTGTCTGTGGGCCAGACATCAGTATATGCCTTGGACGAAAACGGCAAGTTATTTTTGAGTCTGCATGGTCAGTAGGGAGGATAGGGTCCCACGGATACCCCAGTATGATTGTCACCAGGCTACAAGTAGGCTGGGTTGTCATCCCTTCTCAAAGCATCCTTTGGAAGTGTCCAGACCTTTCTATGTTGATTCCCTAGGGACAAGGAACTTTAGCTGTTAGAGTCAGCTTCCTGCATGTGGTTAACATGGAGACAGGACATTGGAGCTCAGCCGTCTTGACCCTCAGGGGCCATGCAGGCAGGACCTAGACCAAGACAATCCAGCAAAGACCCCAGGACCCCCCCCCCCATGAGGCCAGGAACATCAGTTTAGAGTCAGTCTTAGTTTCTTCCTTAACTTACTTAGTTTGGGACACCAGCCCTGGATGCATCTAGAATATCATGTAGGAGCACTTGGGTGTAGGACACAGAAGCTCCATAGGCAACACAGGGCCATGTCTAATCCCCTTGTCACCTCAGACAGGACCCTGGCCCATTCTTCTCAAGACTTTACTGATTGTGTTGATGAGAAGTTAGGAAAAGCAGAATCAAGACTTGGAGCCATGATAGCACAAGCCTGTGATCCTAGCACTTGGAAGGCAGAGGCAAGCCTGGAACACACAAGCACCCTGTCTCAGAACTTGAAGGCAGTTTTGGAAGTCTTATGACCTCTGTTGTCCTGGAAAGGCTATGTCAGAAGGATCAGTTTGAGGCTGTCGTGAGCTACATAGTTAGATCCCATCTCTGAGAACCTGGAGAAAACACCCAGCTCAGTTGATAGAGCACCCACCACTCACACAGAAAGCCCTGAATTCAATCCCTGGCACCACCTACAGTGAGTGATTTCAATACTGGGAGATGGAGGCAGCAGGATCAGGAGTTCAAAGCCAAGCCTGGGCTACATGAGACCAGAAAAGAAAACAAAAACAGTCTTAGAGTCCACAGTGTTGCATCCAGATCTGGTTTCTTTCTATTTGCTTAAAACATTCTTTGTCCTCAGCTTCTCCTTTCGCAGAGAGGCTGAGGCTGTCAGCCCCAAGTGGTACAATGACACGATTATGAAGCCTAGAACACAGAGACAGGGCTGGCTGTGGCCCAGGCTCCTGGTTGTGGGTCCTCAAGGGCCCCTGGGTGTGAAAGATTGGAGGGAAAGAGGGGGTTGAGCCCAAAGCATGCCAAGATGGGCCAAAGGGCTTTCCCAATGACCTTGGTTGCTTCTCTGTCCAGGCAACCTGTGGTACCGAGCAGGGATCACCCCCAGCTACCCACAAGGCTCTAGCTGGGAGCATGTGTCCAACAATGTGCGCAAAGTGTCTGTGGGGCCGCTGGACCAGGTGAGGGCTGGGGAGCGTGTGTCCAATAATTTGTGAAAAGTGTTTGTGCAGGGGAGGGCAGGTTACTAGCCATAGGGAAGAGGGTCTCCTCTTGGCTCTCTCTCTCTCTCCTGTACCCAGCTGCCCCTCTGTAGCTGGGCCAGGAACTCCAAAAAATTCTGTTCCAGGTCTGGGTGATAGCCAACAAAGTCCAGGGAAGCCATGGCTTGAGCCGGGGGACAGTTTGTCGTCGCATGGGTGTCCAACCTCGGGAGCCCAAGGGGCTGGGCTGGGACTATGGCATTGGGGTAAGTGCACTGCCAATCTGGGATGGTTTTATGGCACTGTGTACACCAGACACAGCATGGGAGTTGGTAGGAGAGCCTTTGGGAGAAAACTTGGGTCCTAAGTGACATGGCCTTCTCCTTGTAGGGTGGCTGGGACCACATCTCTGTCCGGGCCAATGCCACCATGATACCCAGGAACATGTCCAGGGAACAGGAGGTTCATGGTCAAGGTCCCGTTTACTGCTGAAGCCTCTCCTCACCCAGAGGCAAGGATGGTTTGAGCCTGAAGGACCGGAACTGAGCCTTTCTTGTGTAGTATGAGAGGGTGTCACCCAGGCCCACACATGCATGGGCAGTCAGGCCAGAATCAGCCATTTCTGAAGCACTGACAAAATGTCTAGAGATGTGAAACTGTGGGGGCAGCCCCACCCGTGTCCCAAGTCTTTGAGGGATGCTAGAGAGAAGGAGATGACTACTGCCTGGCGCCCTCAGCCCTGACCCCTCCCTCTTACACCTCCCAGCTTTCCAGGCCAGGACCTCAGCGCCCTCCAGACCCCAAGTCACCCCCCCAACAGAAGAAACAACTGTGAGGCTTAGGTCTATAAACCTCAGTCTGGGGTCGGTCCTCAGCAGGTTTTCCAAATGGGGTTTTGCTTCAAAAGTTAGGCAAAGGAGTTGGGCTTGGTAGCTGCTGCCTATGTGCCTGTCACTCAGGAGACTGAGGCAGGAGGATTGTGAGTTCGAAACCACCCAAGACTACATACATAGCAAGAATGTCACAAAAAGAGAAAAATAATAATAATAATCTAGACAAATAAACCAGGCATGATGGTGTACGCCCGTAATCCCAGTACTCAGAAGGCAGAGGCAAAAAGATCAGGAGTCCAAGGGCATCCTCGGCTCCACAGTAAGTTTGAGGCCAGCCTGGGCCACATGAGACCCTGCTTCCAGAACCAGGTGGGTCTTATCCTGGGTGGGGTCCCCTCCTGGGGTGCTCTGCAAGGTAGTCTCCATGTAGACTCACCACCATGAGCCCCAATTTAGTCCTTTTTTCAGATATGGGGGTGGGGTTTCCTGGCCAGGGATTCTTGTTGCAGGGTGGCAAGTCTGGGTGGAGGCAGCTTGCACCCTAGACTTGGGTGAAGAAATCTATGCCCCGTGGAGAGGGTATGGCCAGAATTATCTTGTGCCTCAGGGGCTGGGCAGAAGACACATACTGTCCTGAGATGAGAGCTCTGGCCTGCCTGGCATGGCCTATGGCCCCTGGCATGTGTGTCCCAGTAGGTGATAGCTCACGTTTCAGACACCTCCCAGGAGTTGCAAGAGCTCCATCTTTGTTCTTTTGAGAAAGGCCAGACTCACCCCTAACTGGTTTGCCCTGGAATCCTCTGTTAAGTCAAGGTCAGGAAGGGTTCCATTCTGCATGAGGGGTGTCCCCAGAAGCTAAGAAGAAACTACTTTGAGGCCCCATCCAAAGGACATCTAGGAGCCCCATGTCCTCAGCATTCCCAGAGGTGGGACTAGACACATCCATGTGCAGAGAGGCGTTCCAGGGTCACCCTCCTGTGTGCATGTCAGCGTCAGGTTTCCAAGTGGGCATCCCGGTTCGTCCCCTAGCAACTGTGACCTGTGTGCTCTGCTCTCGGCAGAGCACTACGAGGGTGTCACACTGCCCTTTCGCCACCGAGCAGCAACTGTTTACTCCCTCAGTGGCACCAAACTGTTTAGGCTCCTCAGATACTCTATTTAATAAAAATTTATACCATGGCATGGCATGACTGACTTATTTTTATTAAACATTTGGATTAAAAGGCACAGGTCTCCAGGTACCTGTGCGTAGGACCAAAGCATGGTGGCAGTGAAATCTTTTCCTTTTCATTTCAAGATGCAGCTGGCAATTTCATTAGTACTTTACGGGAACCATTAAGGGGGAAAAAAAAAAAAAAAGAACCAGTTCAAGTCATTGAAGGAATGTTTTCACTGCAGTGACAGGCAAGGTTCTGTTCATCTTGGCCTTTTCCAGACAGGTCACATTTCCCCTTTTTCTGCTTGAGATGGGAAGTTGATCAGCTCTGGTGGCTCCACAGTCCAGGTGACCTGGTCAGGGGGAAGCTCTATCCCTCTTGTCCAGGGGCTTGAGTCAACTCAGCCCCATTATCCAGCAGGAATGAAGGGACCAGGCTAGGGGAGGGGGTCAGTCGGTAGAGAACTCGCTGAAGGTGCTCCAAGCCCTGGGTTCAAGCCCCAGAATTGTCTAAACTGGGCATGGGGGGACATGCTGATAGTCAGTTCCAACGCAAGAAGTAGAGGCAGGAGGATTGAAGTTCATCTTTTACTACATAGCAAGTTGGAGATGTGAAACCTATCTTTAAAAAAAAAAAAAGACAAGCCTGGGCTTGGGACAGGGAGACAGACTGGCCTTACTGGCATCACACACAGACTTGTCCCCTAGCCTTGCAAGGCACATATAGGTCCTGTCTATCACCAGAAAAGAACAGAACAGCTAGGCCCATGCCATTCTCTGGGGAGCAGGGGATAGTGCAAGGGCTACCTCGTGGGGCACAAGGCTGTGGCCCTGCAAGGCAGTGACCCTGGGCTGTAGCCAGGCCTTAGGGCAGAACTTTGGCTGGACATATTCCCTTCCTCCCTGTGCTTCCAGGCAAGGTCCATCAAAATGAGCTGAGCTCTGGCCTTGGCTCATCTGGAAGCCAGCACTGGGTTTGTAGTGCTGGCAGAGGCCTTTTGTGTTCCACTGGGAAGCCCCCCCCCCCATAGCAAGGAATATCTGGGCTCTGTCTTTCCAACTTGGAGTTGTGCCTGTCCTCGGCTCACATTGGCAAATTCCCTAACTATTGACCTTTCCCAGTCACCATTCCTGAATCACAGACACAAAGGCCTTCAGTTTATCCAACTGATCTGTGAAGGGACCAGACCAAAACCCAAGTCTCACTGGGATGGACAGATCAACCCCCCCCCCAGGCCCAGTGTAGCTATTATCTGTCTCTTGGGGTACCAGGGGTGTCCCCCTATAGCTATGTTCACAGTAGCCAGGAGGATGAAGGGAGAGGATGGGACCAAGCACGAGTTCAAAACCAGTCTGGGCTGCATAATTTTGCAACCAACCTGAGCTACATACAGTAGGATTCCTGTCACTCTAAAAAAAAAAAAAAAGGGGGGGGGGTCATGGACCCCAAGAAACCCCAAGACAGTTCTGGGTAGAAAGACAAAGGAGGAAAGAGAAGCAGCTGACAGCAAAGTAGTGAAGCCTGGCACATCCAGTGAGGCAGGCACGCCCCACAGAAGGAAGCTGGGCTTGAGGAAGCTGGTTGCCAACCATTCAACCCTTGTTATTAATGATCAGCTTGGGGGAGGGGCAAGCCTGTCACTCCAGCTTCCGCCTCAGAGAAAACACCAAAGGTACCTAGAGCTAAGTCCCATGAGCCTGTGGAAAAACACGTGGCAGCCATACACCAGGGCCAAAGGCAAGACGGATGAGAACTACTAAGCATGGCGGTGGACTCCTGGAATGGAGGTGGGGGTACAGGTGTGGGAAGCCTGCAAAAGACCCAGGGCGAGTCTATCCCTGTACAGAGGCTCGAGGGTCCTCTTCATAAGGACCCTGCCTGGTCCCCACACAGGGCCTCAGATCCCAGGCCCCACTCAGGCTGTGGTTAGCCACAGCCAAGGGCACTTAACTTTCCAGAAGTCTCCATTTGGGAAAAACAGAGAACCCCCTTATCCACTTAAATTCCCAGGAGGCCTTTCTAACACAGTTGTTGAGTTGGGCCCAGGTTATCTGGGCTGCCAAGATGGCTCCTTCAGAACAGCTGCCATCTTGGCTTTGCTATAGTTCCTGGTAAGCCTTGGGTGACACTTTGGGCCCAGCCTCATTGTAGTCCCCACAATACAGGACGGGTCTCAGGCTCAGTGGTAGCAGGGACATTTGTAAGTCAAGTTCTCCCTGGAATTGCCCCTTGGCCACCACACATAAAAAAGAATTGTGAAGAAGGCAAGCACTTTCCTATTCTGCCTATTTTGTGGAAAGAGCTACAGGGACTGGGTAGACTTTCCCCAGAGATTTGGACCTCAATATGACTTGACTAGGAAAAACTGCCCCATGTTGGTGGCTGAGATGAATTTCAAGGAAAACGGAGTCACTGAGATTGAACCTTGGGCTGTGGGATATAGCTGGGAAGGCTAAGAACTTCTTTAGCATGCATAGAGCCCTTGGTTCAGTACCCAGCACCACACCATGTGGTGATGTGTGCCTGTAATCCCAGCCATAGGAAAAGTGGAGGCAGGAGGATGAGGAGTTCCAGGCCAGCCTGGGCCACACAAGAGTCTCTGATCAACAACATAATCCCCTAAACAACCTCAATAGTGTTTGTGGCATGGAGGGACCAGAGTTAAGATGAACAGGCCAGGTCAGCACTGTCAACCCACCCCAGAGCCCAGAGTGGGTGCTAGCTCCCCTCTCTGAAGCTGTGGATCTGTGTAGAGTACCGTTGCAGGTGGCCTTGGGGCTGGTCCTCGGTGACACCCAGTGTGGCCCCAGCCACCTGCTGCTGCTGCTGCTGCTGCTGGTGATGGTAGTGTTGATAGAGTTTAGGGCCTGGTGCAGGACCGGGCCCCTCCAGCCCTGGGAGGCGGCTGCTGGACATAGTGAGTATGGTGGCGGTCAGCGACTTGATATAGTTCTTGGCCAGTGTGAGGGTCTCAATCTTGGAGAGTTTCTTGTCTGCCCGTACATGCGGGATGACCTCACGAAGTGCTTGGAAGGCGTTGTTGAGTTTATGCATCCTCTGTCTTTCCCGTTCATTGCTCTCCAGCCGCCTCTGAACACTGTTCTCCCTGCGGCCCCCAGATCCCTGTCGCCGGCGGTTGACCTCTGCTCGAGCTCCACCTGCCCGAGCAGTCCTACTGCGAAAACCCTTTGTCAGCTCCGACCCCCCTGAGCCTGACTGGGGTCTGTCGGGAGTCTGCTCTCCAGGGGTGGCTTCTGTGTCCTGCGTGGGTGTCCTGCGTCGGGGAGGTCGGTTCTTGGTCTTCATAGCTTGTTTTCCCAGGAGGTGGTGGCTGGAAGAGGCCCCCTGAAATTCAGAACACAGCCCCTCTGCAGTCACTCAGTGTGGCCACGACTGTCTCGTTGGTTCTCTCCAATGCAATGGCATCAATAGCTGATGCAGCTGACCATTGGTGCATAGTGACACCTGTGTACTTCCCATTCACACTGTGCCCCCATAGCCAGTTGAGCTCACACTGCAGTTTCCCTCCCCACTGCTCTGGAAACCCTTTCCAGGTCCCATGCCCCTTACTATTGCAAGTGCCTCCTGAGCCTAGGTGACCTTTGACCATTTGTTTAAACCGCCCAGGAACAGGTCCCAACCCTGGCTTATGGGGTCCCCCTCAACATGTCAGTTGTCTCAGGGACAGGCAGCAACCGTTAGACAGCATGTTTATAGCTCTCCTGGGCATGACACAGGCCCAGACACTACCAGAACCAGAACCGCAGTAAGTGCACACAGGACAGCTCACAGGTCAGACTGACAGTTGCCAGGGCCCGTGCAGCAGCCCCCAGTTCCACCACGTGGATGGCGCTAGCCAGTCTGAGTGGGAGCCACCAACTGCATTTTCCTCCCACCCCAAAACAGCCGTTCATCTGGTCCTGCCTCTGGGTCCCCTCCCAGTAGTCCCATCCAGTTCCCCCAACCCCTTGGTTTACCTGGGGATCTGATCTGAGTCCGCACGCGCTGAAGCTGCCCACGGGGGACAAGGACACGTAGCTTTAGCCACCACAGGCGGGGCCGCACGAAGCATGTAAATGAACTCACTGGGCGGGGTCAGGGCGGCACCTGCGGCCACGCCCCCGCTCTGGGGACCGGAGCGGACCCGCCTCCCCTCTCTCTGGGTCTGAGAGCCCGTGATGTCAAAGGGGACCCGCTGGGGTGGGGGCAGGGGCGGGGGAAGCCCGGGACTGCACCTGGCCAGTGCACCTGGCCTTGGGGTTAAGGCTCAGAACAGAGTCTAGGATAAGCCACCTTGCATAATCTTACAGGAACGGTGGCCACATCCCTGAACAAAGCTGGCAAGACCTCTCCTACCCTCCTGGCCCAGAACAACCTGAATTTTCCAGCGGACCCTGTGGGTCTTAAGGGCTCTAGGATACAGCTTTTCCCGGCTTCCAGTCTCTCCAGACTGGGATGGGGCGGGTTAGGGAGGCCACTCAGGTCACTTGGGCTTTAAAACTAGCTGCCTACCAGCTCTAATTGATGGCACCTCAGTTTCCCCAGGTGACAAGGGAATTACATTTAAAAAAAAAAAAAAAACAAAAAAACAGAGTGATGGCTCTGTGGGTAGAGGTACCTGGTACCAAGTCTGATGCCTGGAGTCTGGGATCCACATGGTGGACAAAGAGAACTCACTCCCCCAAGTTGTTCAAGAGTGCCATGGTGCTCACAGAAAACAGCTTTCTTGTTTGGCTTTGCTTTGTATGTTTGCTCATAAGTCAAAGGACAACTTGCAGGTGTCTGTGCTCTTCTGCCATGCCATGCAAGTCCTGGGGTTGAACTCAAGTCATTACACTTGGCTTACAAGTGACTTAGCCACTTTGTTGGCTGTAGTACAGGCTGCCCTTGAATGCTAGAATTACAAGTGGGTACTGGCACACTCAGCTCAATTTCTGTGTTTTGGACTCAACTATTGACAAAAATGTGCTGAAAATTATCTATACATTCTTTGATTCAGTGAGTGCTATGGTCACGGATGAGTGCCGTGGCAATGTGGTGCCGGGGACTAAACCTAGTGCTTCATGCATGCTGAACTACATACCTGGCTCTCTTTCTGTTTTAGAGACAAAAACTAAATAGCCTAGGCTGTCCTCAGACTCATGGAAATCCTCCTGCCTCAGCTTTCTGGTGCAGGGATTATAAGTGTGGCTGGTCACTATGCTCAACTAAACTGGAGCTTTATTTTCCATGAGCTGATAGGGCATGTCAAAACGCAGCCAGAAGTCTCTGAGTCAGTTCTCATGTTTGGTAAGCTTGGGGGTCACTACTGGTGACCCAGCCTGCCCATAGACAATGTAGGAAGCTGTCACCTCCCTCATAGCATTTGAACTTCAATGAGAGAAAAGGAGAGAAGGATCAGGGGCCATGGAGACATCCCAATACTGCATGGAACAGCTATTGTTTTTGAGATAGAACCTCATTCATACCATAGCCTAGGCTGATATTGGGCTCATGGCAACCCCCCACCTTAGTATCCCAAGTACTGGGTTAAAGGCATGCACCATACCAAGACCAATGAAAGGCTGTTGTGTTTGCTGTGTTGGTGTGTGCGCACAGTAGCGGTGCATGTGCACATGCATAGAGTATGAAGGTTCAACATCAACTGTTATTCCTCAGGCATTCCAGTGCTTTTAGTGTTTGACAGGATCTCTCACTGGCCTGGAACAGGCATAGGATGCTATGCTGACTAGTGAACCCCAGGGATCTGCTGCCTGTCTCCCCAGAACTGGATGACAAACTGCAGTCTCCACCTCCCTGGCCTTTTTATTTTCAAGCACCTTGGGTTTTATAAATTGAACACAGGTCTTAGCAAATCAGTCATTTCCCAGCTGAAGTTGTGAGCTTCTTGGAGTAGTATTGAGTGCTGGGATAAGACCACATAAACCAACCTCACCTGGACTCCTAAGTAGAAAGGTTTAGTTTACAGAAATCACAGCCACATGTGCAGAGTGAGTTTCATATTTGGCAGGCATGGGTGTCACTACCTGTGACCCAGCCTGCCTATGGGCAAGGAAGCTATTACCTCCCTCATGCCGCCTCATGCCCTCAAGACTATGGGGGCTTAGAGACCCAAAGTACCAGGCCAACCCCACACATGGAAAAAACAAGGAATAAATGTAGCAACGGAGTTTATAAATATATAACTATATTTATTTTGAATATTAAATAGTTTTTAAATTACAAGCAATTTATTGAATCACACTAAGCTTCAATATACAGTAAAAATCTTACAGTTTAAAAATGTACACAATTTAAACTCCAAGTTCATTAACTGTTATATTGCCGTGAACCCATTCTGACTGTTAAGTACAACCCAGTAGGTGGCAGGCCTGGTGGGGTGACTGCCCCACCCAGGTTTCTGGCTGTGGACATGATAAAACAGTGGATACATGCACAAGTCTGGTAATCAAGACCCGGGCTCACCTGTGTAGGCTTCAGTAACCAAACACCACATGTTCAACCACTGGGATGGCTGTGATGCAATACTGTCAACACATCTTAAGAACTTACTTATAAGTTAAATGGAGTTTCCTAACAGCCAAGATGTTGCCACCCTGTCTGCTACTTAGGGGATATTGAGATGTATGTTGGAAGTAACCGTGTCTGCCCTTTCTTATGGGAAGGTGACTTCCCTTGAGGTGGATGCTCTGAAGTGTGGCACACAGAACCTGACACTTGGTTGCACCTGAGTTTCCAGGTGATGGGCTGAGGGGCGGAGGTGAGAAGCTGCCTGCTATCTTCCCCAGCCCTGGGGACAGACATGCAATAGGTCACTAATTCTACAGATACCCTATGAGAAGTACAGGGGTGGGGGGGGGCAGGGGAGGTTTTAAAGGGCATTTCACAGCAAGGAGACAGACTTCCTTGGATAAACCCATCTTTCTAAAAAACTGTACATTTGGAAATAGAAGGAAGGCTGTTCATAATTTTAGTCTTTCGGTGACTAACTTCTGGTCCAGACAGAGTCCGGTCTCACACGGAGGGGGACCTCTTTTTTCTTTCTGACTTACGACTGGTCATGTATAACAAATGGAGGTTATCAAAGAGGGACATGGAGGGTTCATTATTTTATTAGAGGACTTAAGAGTCAGTTTCTGGTCTGGTAGGTGAGGATGGGCACTCAAGGAATGGCAGGAAAAGAATCACTGAGCTCACCCCATGCCAGCTATAGGGACCACTGATTTCACTGCTCATTTGAACGAACAAGTTTAGAAAGCCCTCAACGGCAACCAAATTATCATTAAAAACAACAAAGCCAGATGGGTGTGGTGGCAGCACTCAGAGAAGCAGAGGCAGGTGGACCTCTGTGAGTTCAAGGCCAGCCTGGTCTACAGAGCGAGTTCTAGGGCAGCTAGGGCTACAACACAGAGAAACCCTGTTTTGAAAAAAGCCAAACACAAGAACAAAACCAAAAACAAAAACAAAAACAAAAAACCAAAAAAAGAACAAAACCAAAAAAAAAAAAAGACAAAACCCATATCAGATGGCAAAGCACATGCTCACATTTCAAAAATGGCAGGAATTTAATCTACAGAGAGTTCTGCATACCACACCACAGAAAGACCTACCCCACCCCCACCCCAACTCAATATATGAAATGTTGCTGTTTTGGCAGTTAATGATGAGAGTGATATAAATATAAATGGGAATTGTATTGTTAAATCCCCTCAACATGGTGGAAGATGGCCAGCCCTCAGGCATCAGTAAACCTATCCTAGGCTGACTTCGTAAGAAGGTTATATATAGTTTATGGACCCACATGATTGCAATCAGTGAATCTCAACTTCTTAAACCTTTAATTTGAAAAAATTCTTTTCTCAACTAAGACTGGGAGATAGAGGTAAGAATTAAAAAAAAAAAAAAAAATCAGAAAGTCCACACAGCAAAAAATTCAGTTATGACAATTTTGGCAAAATCACTTTCAGATGCCCTGTTTGTAATCAACATGTCACAAGATCCAGTGCTTGCTTTCTTCGGAGCAGGTGTGCTAGGTCTGCACCAAGCACAGGGAAATGAGACTCTGCTCTCAGCTGTCTTCCGCTGATCGTAAAGTTATTGCTTAGTATAAAAATTCATGGATCGAATCAGAGTTGATAATAAAAACCATAATTTGCTACGTAAACTCAAGCCGATGTCCACTCTGTAGGAGGGCCCAAGTCCCTCTGATTAACATCATGACGTCCCAGACAGGGCCTGGAGACTCACCCCAATGTCACACTGGAGTCTGGATAGTGGGGTCAGCACCGGGAAGTATTTGGGATGAGCAGCCTATGTAAGAAGAGCCACCCCAACAGGTGCAGTCCCTGCTCAACATGGCATTGCCATAGCACTAGCCAGCAGCACTTCCTTATGTCAAAGCAGGACTCGTGTGTAGCAGAGCGAGGCCAGCCTTGTGTTGGGGACACTAGATTCCTTCAGTGACGTACTGCAGAAGCCTCCGGATGCCTTCCAGAACAAGAGGAGGGCTGGGAGCTTGATACAGAAGGGGCAGCATGCGTGGGTTCCCCAGGCCAGTCAGGAAGCCATGAGGGCTGCTGGAGGCCCTGGCAGGGTCCCTGGACTGTCCTTCTCCTTGCAGCTACAGGCAAGTTCAGGGTGCTGCCTATCACCTGGGTGCTGTGGCCTGGAATGGGAAGTCCCAGCCCCAGACATTTCCAAACAGCCCTCTCAGCAGCACCCACAGTTCTTTGTGGGGACTCAGGGCCTCAGAGGTCCCTGCATGCCTGCAAGTCAGAAGAGATCTCTTGCAGGCTGGCCTCTGTGGAGAGGAAGTGGTGTGGGCCTCATCTGCCACACCAGAAAATGGCCCTGGGCCCTGAGAGCACTGAGTTCCGGGTCCATCTCTTATTGGATTTCTACCAAGAGGATTTAAAAACACAAGAGGCAGGACAGGTTGCTCAGAGAGCATCCACCTTATACAGAAACATGCTTAGTGCAGTCAATGAAACTAAGCAGCAGTTGGAACTCATCAAAAATATTTCCTCTAGGAACATAGAACACAAACACCCAGATCCGCATGGCCTGGGAAAGAGTACCTGTGTACAGTTCCCACAGGTCTCAAGACATAACACTCAAACTATTGAAGCTTTACAGTACCATGCAAACACGGGAGAAGACGGGGAAAAAAAAAAAAAAATCAAACCAGTGGACAGCACCATCTTGGCCTGCCATGTTTTCCTTGTATAATTTACGATGCTATACAATATTGGGAGCTCAAACACTCACCCACAGTGCAGTCAGAGAGCAATTAGTGATTTCCTTAAAAATAATAAATATGGCTCACTTGTGCCCATTTCCCTGGTGTACCCCTTTGTGGCACCTGTGCCCAAAGTACAGGCCCAGGTGTGGTGGGGAAGACACCCACACAGAAAGCAGACCCATGACTGGGGTGCACAGGTCCCCCAACACTCATGCGTCGAAGACGTGTGGCAGTACAGCCACCCCAACAGGGTGCCCAGCACAGAGCACTTCTAGTGCATGAGTAGCTGGCTTCCTGGCCTGGTGGCCTGGCTCCCCATCACTCCTGAGTCTTTCAGTGTCTGGTGCAGCCACCAAGGAGTTGATGTCGTTGCTCAGGCGGATGCTCAGGAATGCTGCTTGGGCCAGGAGAGTGTGTCCACAGCCGCCTAATCCTTCTCTCCATCCTCACTGCTGCCTGTTTCCCAGACAGAAGCAACATGACAAAGCAGGTCAGTTGTAAGAACTGACTACCCAGATACTAACAGCACAGAGGCGACCAGACCAGAACGGTAGGAAAAGGAACCACAGCTGGTGCCTGGCTGCTTCACATCTTCCTGTGCTGCCCTGTCTGTCTCTCCATCCCACAGCCTGCAGGCTTCTGCACACACAGCTGCTTGGCTCTCACAGTGGCTCCATGGCCACACTCAGGGGCACAGAAGTAAACCAGCCTGACCTGTACAGCCCCCCCCCCCAAGAGATCCTTAGGCACAGGCACTATCTCATCAGCACAGGTGAAAACTATGTAAACAAATAAAAGCACTTTATATCCTACATTTATTATTTGATCTGTAAACTTCAAATAAAAAAATGTACCTGTTAACATTTATCTTCTGATCTTGGTATAGGGAAAGGGGCCCATATGTTCAGGTATTGCAACTTCAAACTGGCCCCTGCTGTGAGTTCCCAGCTGGCCCTCTGGTATCGCAGAGACCAAGACTTAATGGCAAAATCAACACTGCCAGGGAAGTGACGGAGAGCCTGGGCTCCAGTCCAAACCACAGGTCAAGTGTGCCTAGAGCAGGTGCCTGTGCGGGCGGTCTTCTGGGAGAGAAGTGTGACCCGAGGAAACAGGACTGGCAGTAAGGGGAAAGAAAGCAGAGCCCACTCCAGGACCTCCAAGATCTCCAGGGCTAGGCCAGCAGGGCTACACAGAAATGAGCACTGGGGGGTGATTCTAAATGGGGGAAGTGTGGCCACATATGCACTGTAAAGCTTGTGAGAGAAACACCAGGCCTGTTATTTCACCTACATGGGAATCTGAGGCAGAAGGATTTAAAGTTCAAGGCCAAACAAGATACAAGACAGACAGGGCAACTTGGTGAGACTTTGTCTCAAAAACAAAACAGTAAGACATGACCTGGGAATGAAGTTTAGTAGTGAAGCAATGAGGGGCTAGGGATGTGGCTCAGTGGTAGAGCACCTGCCTAGAATCCCCCAGTGAGGGGCGAGGGGTGTGGCTCAGTGGTAGAGCACCTGCCTAGAATCCCCCAGTGAGGGGCGAGGGGTGTGGCTCAGTGGTAGAGCACCTGCCTAGAATCCCCCAGTGAGGGGCGAGGGGTGTGGCTCAGTGGTAGAGCACCTGTCTAGAACCCCACAGTGAGGGGGATGTACCTCAATTGTAGAACAATGTGCTAAGTATACCCAAGGAACCACCCCCACCACAAACTGAGAGTTTTCAAGCAAATTTATAATCTACTCAGGAAAGACTAAAATAGCATCAGACCACCATTCCTTTGGGTTTAGGGTAGAGGAGCACTCCTGGCTGAAAGCCACCACACCTCTGCCATGGTCCCACCGCCCCCCCCAGCACATGCAGGGCCCCTCTCACCTCCTTGTTCAATGTCTGAGTCCGTGAGGTGTGTGAGAGAGAAGCTGGCAATGTTGGCAGGAGAGATGGAAAACCTGGAGCAGGGAGACACGTGTGGCCAGCTCTGCTCTGCACTCCTGGCAGGTGGTGGGGGAGAAAAGTATTTGGAGCTTTGAAGAGAAGGCTTGGAACCCAGAAGGCTTGTTTTTGACATGAAAGGATCTGGAGAGAAGTCATCATCCCATTCAAAGCCTCCACCTGCAGTAAGAACATCACCCTGTTATCACTTTACGCAATCAATTCATGATAAGGAGCCCAGGGCATTCCGACACAAGCCACTAACAGATGGCAGAGCAGAAGTGTGTTTCTTCAGGGTCATTTAAAAACAAATGATGTTCCAACAATGTCAGCATTAGCCAGGTGTGGTAGCACACATCTTTAATCCCAGCACTTGGGAGGCAAAGATAGGAGGACCTCTTTTATGTTCCAGGCCAGCCTTGTCTACAGAGTGGGACTCTGTCTCAAAGACAAACAAGCAAAACAACAAAACACACTCCATCCCCAAATAATGTCCCTTTCCACTGCCTTTGCAACTGATAGACACAGCACAATCAAATACCTTCTTCATCTGTGGAGCTCTCCGAATTCATGCACCTGCCCAGGTAAGGTGAGCCTGAGGATGCTGCTGGGCTGCTGGGCCCAGGACCGTGTGCTTCTTCTCCACAGTGCCCCAGCTCTTTGGTGGGAGTTTCCTGAAAAGCCAAATAAATATTCTAGTTTTTAAGAGTCCAAATATCTGGCCTTACCCAGACTGATGGACTCATCAGAATGAGGTGAACTAAAGAGTTATTTACTTTATATGAGGAAGAAAGCTTCAGGACTTCAGGATTTGGAGTTATAAATGATTATGAACTGCCAAATGGATGCTGGGAACGCAGGTCCTATATAAAGGCAGCCCTGTTCTTAACCCATGAGCCATGTTTCCAGCCCCCCCACCCCCCCACCCTTATGATACAGTCTCACTATGTAGACCAGGCTGTCCTCAAACTCTAAGATATCTGCCTGCCTCTCAACTTCCAGATCGCTGGGATTAAAGGTGTGCATCACCGAGACCAGATCTTTCCAGCCCCTTTACTTTTTTTTCCTTCCTTCCTTTCTCTCTCCATACCCCACACCCCAAATAAGATTTCTCTGTGTAGCCCTGGCTGTCCTGGAACTCATTCTGTAGACCAGACTGGCCTGAAGTCACAGAGATCCACCTGCCTCTGCCTCCTGAGTACCAGGATTAAATGTTGTTGCCACCACCTGGCCTCTTTCTTCATTTTTTGAAGACAACATCTCACTATGTAACCAAGAGAGGTCTCAAACTTGCTATCTAGCTCATGCTAGCACTAATCCATTAATCCTTTCAGTCTCCTGAATCATGGGATTACAGGCCCTGTACCACTATATATGGCAAAGTCTACCATATATGGTCCCTTGAATGCAGCTCTAGCATCTGTGCAAGTTGTGTGAGATAGTCCTGAAACCTCTGAAAAGAAAACGAACAAGCAGACACAGGAGGGAAGTGCCTCAGACTCCAAAGTGGCACCCAACTGGTACTGCACGGTAGATGTGTTGCCTTCGGAATGCCCTGGCCTGGAAGGAATTGCCAGAGAAGACTTTTGTTCTGGTTCTAGGAAAAGAAGGGATCTTCTAACCCTCAGAGCAATACAACCCCAAAGTTCCTTTCTCTCCTTGTTCATGTTCTGTCCCTGTCACCCCATCTCCATGTAGTCTGATGATGATGTTTTATGATTTCCTTCATGTGTGGCAGACTTGGGCACCATCTTTCTGATTGGAGGACCAAGAAGGTGTGTGTACAGGGCTGGGATTATAGGGCTATCACCAGGGGGCATTCAAAAAAATTAACTAGACAAGTGTTGAGGAGTTTCTGGGCCTGCCCTTGAGTTGACCCCAAACAACACACCAAAGCTATGAAGACTAGACTGTGGAGGATGCAGGGGTGACACCAAGCTCCAGTATGGCCAGTGGGTACATCCAGGCCATAGACTGAAAAGAGGAACTAATACTGATACCGAAGCTCACAGGAGGCTGGCTGGAGCTTGTGGCCTGAAGCCAGCTGTGAAGGCCTAAGACAAACATAGCAACACTCTCCACCACCCTAAAAAGACAGATGCCCCACAGCATGATGAGAAGCCACAAAATCTACAGTAGCCAGGACAACCTCACTGTACAGAGGACACACTAACCCAACACTATTCCTAAGGAAGGAAGCAGATTGAATCAGAAGAGCAGATTCAAACAGCACACCTAACCCCAAGCACACCACTGAAAACAGACTCTCACGGGGCTGGGAAGATGGTTAGGTCCATAAAGTGCCTGCCACATACTAAGCAGGAGGATGTGAGTTTAGGCCCTGGGCTCCAGTATTCTCCAGCATCATGACAGCAAACACCTATAATCTTAGCAATCCCCCCACCCCCGAACTGAATTAGCTAACAAGTCCATACCAGAAAGATACAAGAAAATTTCCAATTGGAGCCAGCCAGTTGGCTCAGTAGGTAAAGGTGCCTGCTGCCAAGGCTGACGGCCTGGAGCTCTCCCTGGGACCCACAAAGTAGAAGGCGAGAACCAACTCTCCCAAATGCCTATGGCATTTGTACACCTATACATACACACACTGAACAGAGAAGTACGTGGGAAAATTGAGGGATATGTTCCATGGGTAAAGGTGCCTGCCACCAAGCATGATGACCCAAGTTGGATTCTCAGGCTTCACACAGAGAAATGACTCCTCAACTTATTCTAAGTCTTTGGTGGGTCAGAGAGAAAGTCTTAAGGAAAATGAAAAAAACAATTTGAGCTGGATGGAAATAAAAGGACAACATATTTCAAATTTGTGGAAAGCAGCTATAGCTGCAAGAAGGAGCTTATACCATTAAAGTCTAATGGAAAAAAGAAGTCTCAAGTCCCTAAGCTTTCACCTTAAGAATCTAGAAGAAGGGGCTGGAGAGCTGGCTCAGCAGTTAAGAGCACTGGCTGCTCTTCCAGAGGACCTGGACTGATTCCCAGCACCCACATGGTGGCTCCCAACCATCTGTAACTACAGTTCCAGGGGATCTAATGCCCTCTTCTGGCCTGTAGGCCCTGCATGTATCTAGTGTCCAGACATATATGCAGGTAAAACACCCATTAAAGAGGGGGGGGGGGGAACCTAGAAAATGAAAAGCAAAATAAAACGCAAGTGTGTAGAAGGAAACACTAAAGATGAAGCAGGAACCAATGACACTGAAAAGGGAAAAAAACAATAAACAAAACAAAACAAAACAGCCCATCCATCATGAAACCAAAGCCATTCTTTGGAGAGTTTAACAAATCTTCAGTGTTTCCAAAAGCTCTCTGAGGAAGAAGGCATTTCCCTACTCATCTTCAATCTAGTGCCAGTCTTGAAATCACAGTCAAAGACAGCACCAAACAGCAAAGCTAAACAAAGCAACAAGAGAGTCAAAACTCCAACCAACTTTACAAACAAAAGAGGCAGACTCTCTTCTAGTCCTAGGAGCCATCCTGGCTGGATAGTTCTGGAGATCCAGCTAGGGAGAACCCTGGAATCAGCAGGAGGTGGGAGGCAGCCCCCCCGCCCCCCCCATCCGCCCAGGAGTCAGGCTCAGACAGGTACATGTCTGTTTTCCACCATCCACCCAATCCCACATGAAGCAGCAGTAAATGGATGGGGTTTTGTTTGCTTACTTTTGATCTGTTGCTGACCACTGAGAGCTCAGCAAGCCAGGTGCACACTATATGGCTGAGCTGCAGCCCCAACCCTGAGAAGCTTGGTAAGGAGGAAGGTGACCAGAGTACAGCACCCCAGGGACAAAGGGGAACATTGCCTGGAAGTCTCTCTCCACTGTGGAACCCTGAGAAGCTACTTCCCAGAAGCCAAGATGAAGTCAAGGGCTTAGCTCTGAGAACTAAGCAAAACCAGAGCAAGCAGTATCAGAGACACCAAGATCCCTACACTTTCTGGCATATAGTGAGAACCATTCTTGGGCCCCATGACCTGAAAGCTTACCCACAATATGATTCAAAAAGCAAATTCAGGGTTCACATGTGATTATTAACCTCTACAACCCCAGCACTCTGGAGACCAAGGCAGGAGATGGATCAGTTCAAGGACAGCCTGAGATACAGAGTTCAAAGGCCCTGGGAGTTAACTATAAACTATTAACTCAAAGACCAGTAAATAAAGAACATGGAGGAAGGAAGGGGCTGGGGAGATGGTGCAGTTGGAATTGCTTGCCATGAAAGCCTGAGGACCCAAGTTCAATCCCTAACACCCATATAAAAAGTTAGGTGTCTGGGGCTGGAGAGATGGCTCAGCAGTTCAGAGCAATGGCTGCTCCTCCAGTGGACCTGAGCTTGATTCCCAGCACCCACATTGTAGCTCACAGCCAACTGTAACTTCAGTTATAGGGGATCCCACTTCTGACATCCTTGGAAACTAGGCATGCAAGCAACACACAGAGGTTTTTAGTTTTTAATTTAAAGCTGGGTTATTGAAACATGGAGATCCAGATTTAATTAGATACCCAGTCTCAAAAAAAAAAAAAAAAAAAAAAAAGATGGACAGCAATTGAGGAAGACATGTGGCACTGACCTCTGACCTCCACTTGTGAGCAGACATACACACACATGTACATGACAGAGGGGGAGAGGAGAGGGGAAGAGAGGAGAGGAAAGGAGGGAGAGAAAAGAGAGTTTTCCAGTTATAAGCCTGTCTACCCACCAACAGAGCACATACTAAGCCACCAAGGGTCAAAGCAGAAGGACCTTCCTGCTGCCTGCATATCATACTCTCCAGACTCACCCTGCTGCTCTGGAGTTCCCTGCCAGCAACTGTTCTAGGCCTGTACCCAAGCATTGGGTGTTACTGCCAATTGTCAGATTCTAAAATTTGGTCATCTAATTTCAGCGGGAACTCCGTTAGCAGATCCAGGAAGAATGCCCAGGACTCTCTCCCTTAACTGAATGCAAATGCCCTGTGCAAAATTAATTTCTGTCAGTTCTTGGAACATCACCAGTCTCAAATGACTTCCACATTGTCACAGTCTGCTGTCTCAACAGCAATTAAAAGACAAGACCACAAAGCTGGGCATGGTGGTGCACATCTTTAGTCCCAGCACTCAGGAGGCAGAGGAAAATGGATGTCTGAGTTTGAGGCCAGCCTGGTCTACTGCAGAGAAATTCTGTTTCGAAACATACAACAAACAATAAAATAAAATAGTCAAGCTACAGCTGTAAAGACATGGATGCTGCCCTCCTGGGAAGCCTAGTGTGCTTGTCCTGAGTTCACAGTATGCTGAGGGCATGTGGTAAAGACATCTGCTTTGCTTTCACTGCCTGCCTCGAGTGTGACAACCAGGAGCCCAGTCACATTCCAGGTGGCAGTCATTATGAAAAGTTATTTCTAAGGCTTAGAATCTCAGCACTGTGACGTGGGAGCCAAAGCACAGGTTTCTTATCAAGGGCACAGACACTGCTCCACAGGGGAAGGTGATGATGCAGATGGTGTGGATTAGTGAGGGAAAGTTGGCACAAAGAACATGGGACAAAAAGGATGGTGCCTTTTGGGGTCAGAAAACAGTATCTGTGGTAAAGCCCTAGCCAAGCAAGCATGAGGACCGGAGCACAAATCACTAGCACTCATGAAAACCAGGACACAAAATGTGAGACTGGATTCCCAGAGCAAGGTGACTGAGATGAGCTGCATCAGTGAGTTCTGAGTTTAAGTCAGAGAACCTGCCTCTCTATAATGTGGAAAGTGAACAAGGAAGACACCAGCACCAACCTCTGTCCCCAACACAGATGCATATGTGCACCTATACACATGCAAACACATATATGCAAACACTACATATATAAAAGGAAATAAAATGCTGAATTTTTAAAAACAAAAACCAAATCAGACCAGTTAGCTTCACACCTTCTTGAAATTCTTTACAAAATAAATCTGAGATACCTGGTCAAACAGGTAAACAGTGACATCATCAAAAAATGTCACTGCCTTCTTTTCCTTCTTCCACTCATCTGGCAGCTGCTCAGGAGTCTCAGTGGCTGAGGGTTTCAACAAACTCCGCAAGTGCCTGCCATCATCATTACTGACGATAATGGGCACAGGGTGCTCTGTGTCGTCTTCTGACTCAGAGCTAAGGCTGTGCAAATTGAAGGCCCGCAGGTCCTCGTCCGAGTCATCACTGTTCTCATCTTCCTCGTCTGCGTCCATCCCATCCTCTGAGAGGTCCAGCATCCCAGACACACACAGTTTGCCCAGGTATTTCCCTTCAATGTCTGGCTCCTTAAGCTTGGGGCCCTCGAAGGGGCTGGACATGGATTTATCCAGTGTGGAACTTGTGTATGCAAGGAGTTCATTGGTGTTGGTGCCAGTAGAGGCCAGGGTGCATGGGCGATCTTCCTGTGTCTCCAGGTCATCACAGCTGCTAAGTTCTGAATTCAACAAACTCAAGGGGCTATTGGCTTCATCATCCACAGGAAACGTCTCTCTGGAACCATCAGCTGGTGTGGGCTGCAACATTTCTTGTAATTCTGAGTGACAAGAATTCTGCACAGCAGACACCTCACTTTGATCTGGCTTGTTCTGTGGGGCTTCCAGACAGCTGTCTCCCATGTCAGAGCTTTCCTCTGGGACAACAGTTTCAGATGGGGACTGGTCTTTTACCAAGGCCAGGGCAGAGGCAGTTGATACTGGGACCTCCTCAGGCTTTTTATCTGGCTCTGAGTCATTATCTGAGAAGTACGCAGAGTCTCGATACGAACTCTGGGTGCCGAGTGTAAAGCTCTGAGGAGGACCTTCAGCACTCCTGTGGCCATCGCCTGCATCTGAGATGACAATGACTGGGTTGGGAGGCAAACTGTTCTGGCCACTGTCACCTGCCGCAGCCGCGTCTGAATCAGAAGCACCCTCAGATGCAGGATGCAGGGTCCACTCAGGAGACTCCAGGTTCTCTGTTTCATAACCACTGTCTGCAGGCTTATCAGGGGGCAGGAGTTTCTGAGGGGTGTGGGAGTCTAAGGACTGTAGTAATGCTTCATGGACATCTACTGAATCCAGGGAGTCTGGTGTCTCCACAGACTGTTCTGAGGTGGGGATGGGTGTTGACAAACTGTCTTCTAAGAGGCTGTCTTGGCTGGTGGAGTCCGAGGAAAGGGCAGAGGCAGCATCTTTGGGGACAGCCTTGTAATTAAGCTGACTCACAGTCTCCACAGCTACCGGACTTCTCTCCACTGTGCTGCCACTAAGCAGGTCTTCTGAAAATGGCTGATTTTGTAAATCCTGTCTAGATTCTGGAAGACTACTCCCCCTGCTACCCTGACCAGCAAGACCATCATTCACAAGGATGGAGTCTCTTTTGGTTAGGTTCAAGGCCTCCTTGCTTTGGCAAGTGATGTCTGGGGGCCCAGTGTCCTCATCATGAGACTTGGCATCAGTAGAAGGAATTTCATCTGGGGCAGCCATGGGGTTGGGGCTTAGATCCAGGCATACGGAGTCCTCAGGGACTCTGACATCTACAAATGCTTTGGTTTCTCCTACTTTCAGAACTGTATCTACGGGGCCATTAGGAGATGCTTCTTCTGTGAGTGAGGCCAGAGGTACCTGTACTTCTGGGGAGGCCTGTTGTGACATATCATCCTGAAGCATGACGCCTGTACCTTCATTCTCTCCGCTCATGTTCTCCTGTGACAGAGGAAAGCCTAGTGTATTCTCAGGACACTCAATTTCAGAACCCCGAGAGCCTCTCTGGGGTGAATCTAACAGTGCTGAGGTAAAACCTGCATTCTTAAGTTCTGTCTGAAGATCATTCACTGGCTCCTTGCTAGGCAGTGAGCCTTTCAGTAGGTTTTTCTCCTGAAGAAATAAAAAGTTTTCTGACAATTCTTGAACACTCAGTGGATCAAAGTGATCTTGGTGCAAAAGACTTTCTGATAAACACATAGGGTCCTGGTCGAAAAGCTTATGGGACTTTTCTTTGTCTGAGTGGCAGGTGTCTTTGGGGTCATCCAGGCTTGAACTCAAGGCAGCTGGCTTAAAGTCAGCTTGAACGCCATTTAGTTCCATTAGGTCAAATATTTTCTGGTGGCTGGGCAAGTCATCTGCTTTGTCAAGATCACTGAATATGTTGAAAGGGCTCCCAGAGATGCTGGCAGCATGCGAGTCCTCAGAAGAGCTGGGCTCTTTGGGGTGAGCACTGCTCTGGAAGAAATCGTCACCTGTATTGGGCTCCTCAGACACGAGGTTCTTGAGGGCCGTAAACTGGGGTGCCTCAGCTCCAACCCTTTCTGGATTATCCACTTCAGTTGTAAGCAGTGCAGGTGGATAATCCAGCCCTAAATTACTACTGCTTTTCTCTTCCAACTGGATGTAATAGTCACTCCCAACAGAGAGGTTGTGCGCGTCAAACACAGGAACCACCCCAGGGGCCCTGAGGGGTATCTCTTGGCCACTGTCATCTTGTTTCCCAGGGCCGGGATCTGAAAGTGAACTCTCAAACACTTCAACGGGGAAAAACATGCTAGAATAAGACAAGGCTTCATCTGGGTGGCCCCGACCTCGCTCATCAAAGTGGTCATGCTTGGCAGCCTCCCACACATACTCAAAGCTCAGCCCCTGGCTGGTCTCAGTCACTGTGAGGACCTCCTCCATCTCCCGACCTAGCCGGTCCCGGGCAAAGTGGTCAAGGATGGGGAAGGCTGCGCTATTTGATGTGTCCCTGCTGCTGGTGTTTGGCTTGAGAGCGGTCCACTGCTGTTCAAAGTCGACCTCTGAGTCCCTCTGGCTCTGCATCCGCAGGTAAGTGAGTAGTCGGTGCACATCTTCTGCGGCTGGCCTCTTGTCAGGAGCCAGCCAGCAGAACTGTAACACTTCATACCTGAGAGCCACACAAGGGACAATTAATTCACAGAACATAGTGATTTAAAGTAAGAAACAACCTTATTTCAGAGCCAACTCAACATGCCCTTCCCCACCAAGATCCTAACCATGGCTAGCCATGTTAAGGGCTTAACTCAGAGTGTGAGTTAAGGGGGAAGGAAAGAACATGTGATACACTCATTCTTTTTTGGTTGGTTTTCAGGACATTTCACAGTATCCAGCTATAAGCTGTCTGCCAGACCACGTGTTCTTGTCATAACCTTCCCACACAAAAAAAATTTTTTTTGGTTGTTGTTATAAGTTTTTATTGTTAATGTTTTGTTAGCATTCTAAGAACATGCAAAACAATTTTTAAAACCCTGATTCGTGTTCTAGCTTTGTATATATTTAGTTTTCATTAGCATATATTAATTTTGCACAATGATGGGTTTCACTGTGACATTTTTATACAGGTACGTTCTGTATTAGGATGATATTCATCTATTGTCTAAAACTAAGGGGCATATGAATGAAGTTGTGTGAGTGTGCACATGCAGTCTGAATGGTGTACATGGAGGTCAGGTCTATATTGGGTCCTCCTCTACTGCAGAGATGGTCCTCAATTAGTCTCCATCCTTTGAGACAGGCTCTCTCACAGAACCTGGAGTTCACTGACTCCGCTAGGTTGACTTAATTAGGCCATCAAGCCCCAAGGATCTTCCTGTTTCCACCTCCCCAGGATGGGATGACAGGCACACACTACCTACCACACTCAGCTTTTTAGACAGACAAGTGCTGGAGGTGTTAACTCAGGTCCTCCTGCTTGAGTGGCAGGCACTGCCCTGACTGAGCCCTCTCCCTAGTGGCCACCCTTGTTTTTGTAAATTACAAAGCAGAAGAAAGCTACCAACCATCTATCAGAATAAGGCTGCTCCAGCTGGGGCTTTGGGAGTTTTGTGTCCCTCTCTCTAATGACTTGATTGAGAACATCCAGGTCGGAAAGGTTTGCATAAGGCTGAGCAGCATTACTGAAGAGTTCCCAAAGTGTCACACCCAATGACCTGTGGAAAGCAAGAGGGTCATGCTAAAGTTGCTAACAACCTCATTTTTATTCCTAGTACAAGATATGCATGGAAGTGGTTATTTATCAGTAAGATCAGGATAAAACAGCTCTTAAATAATATCCCAATGGAAAAAAAGAGAGAGAGAGAGAGAGAGAGAGAGAGAGAGAGAGAGAGAGAGAGAGAGAGAGGAGGGGGAGAGCTATTTCTCTTAAAATGAGGGTGACCAGAAGGCCTTCTCATATTTACTTCATCACTGTAACTGAGCATAATAATATAATCACAGGAATTAAAAAATGACCCCTTTGACTTTAAAACTTAAAGAAGCCAGGTGGTGGTGGCCCACACCTTTAATCCCAGCACTTGGGAGGCAGAAGCAGGTGGTCAATACAGAGCAAGTTTCAGAACAGCCATAGCTGTTACATAGAAAAACCCTGTCTCAAAAAGCAAAAAACAAAAACCCACAACAAAAAGACTTCCACAAAAACAAACAAACAAACAAAAACAAACTTAAAAGGAATAAAAGGAATTAGTTGAAATAATAATAGAATATGTTAAAGCATGGCAAAATGGTTCAGCAATCCCACTGAATAATAATAAACTCTATAAAGTAATTCTAAGGAACTTTTACATGAGCAAAACCTCACTTCACAATTAGACCTGTCACCTGCTATTTTGATTACTCCTCAGCATCCTAGCTTGGGGTAACTGTCTGGTACTAGAAGAGGCCTTAGGATGATGTCACCATAGTGGGAACCCTATCTCAGTCTATCCAACTAGTTCTTATGTTATTGGTGTTGTCTTTAGATAAGATCTCACTGTGTAGATTATGTTGAAATGGAACTCATCATATAGCCTAGACTGGTTTTTAATTCATAGTGGTCCTCCTGCCTCAATTGGCCAAGTGCTAGGATTATAAATTTGTAATACCCACCACCTCTCCCCAACTTGTCCTTGCACCCTAGAGCTCTGTCCCTGTTGGAAATGCCTACCTGTTTAGCTCAAAGGAAGTACCTTTCTTTTCCTTTCCTTCACACCCTCCTAATTCTTTTCACTATTCGCTGCCATATGGGAATCTACTGGGACGTTCTCAGGGAGTCATGCATGTCATCTGGGAAGTTTAAATTTTTAAACATTTTATTATTTTATATATATTGGCATTTTGCCTGCATGCGTGTATATGCACCATTTGCATCCCTGGTGCCATGGAGGCCAGAAAGAGGTATCAGATCCCTTGGAACTAGAGTTACAGATGGAATGTGAGGGGCCATGCTGGTGCTGGGAATCCAACTCAGGTCCTCACTGAGCCATCTTTTTAGATTCTTCTGGGAGAATTTTAAACAAGCAAGTTAGGATCCGTATCACCATTTTTTTTTTTTTTTTTTTTTTTAAGTCAGGGTCTCACTCACTATACAGCCCAGGCTGGCCTGAAACTTACTATATAAACTAAGCTGGTCATGAATGTAAAAACATTTGCCTGCCTCTGTTTCCTAGTGCTGGAATTAAAGGTATGTGCCACCACACATAGCCCATATCTTTAACATTCAATGACAGAGTCAAGTTTGGCCTGAGAGAGTGGAGTTTTTCAAAAGCTCCCTGTGATTTGCTATTCTGTCTTCTTCCAGATTCAGGTGTGTGGTCATGAGACTATTCAATGCCCGCTAGGAACCTATAAGTAACAATAGCACAGAGTGGCTTTATTTGCTGTGTGCAGCCTGGTGTTCAATTTCCTGATGCTACTTTACAAGTGACTGAGCAGAGCCAGCAAATTTCACATCCAGAGGTCATTTCTCCTAAAGTGAGGAAGAGGGGGAAAAAGTCCTCACACCAGCCCAGAAAGCAGCCTCTTCTCCCTGACAGAGAACCCTCAGGAGTAAATGCAAATACTTTAAATACAAACCACTTTAAATACAAAACTGTTTAAGACACTGGCCACTGACCTTGAAGAGTTGCCAATTGTACTGGAGAAATTAACAACTCCATGTGAAATGCTAAAAGCCAAAAGGTTTGTTTGGCAGGTGGCAGAATGAGCTGCACTGCCTCCACCTGCACAGGCCCCAGTCAGGCCTGTCTCCCTGCCGCAGGTTTCCACAGCCCTCGCTCACCTCACTTCCTTCCCCTCTTCCAGTAAGACATTCTCAGACCCAAGCCCCCAGGCTCTGCCACCTCCAACTCTTCAGAGGACAAGGAAGGAAAGGAAGCACAGGCTCCCCCACTCCTTAGGCCCACAAGCCTTGTTCTTTTAGGAAAGGGTGTGTCCTGCTGCTTTCCCCACCTCCACTCTAAATTCTGCATGAGCTTCCCTCAACCACCTTGGCATGAGCAGTATGGCAGGACCAGGCACTGCTGCCAGCAACTGTTCTGACAGTCAGGAACAGGGCCAACTCTGCCTTGGGGAACACAGGCTCCATTTTCATGTCAATCATCCTGCTAAGTACAACAAAAATGCCAGTGAAGCATGAAAAAAAATCTTCTTGAAGAATCTAAGGTGGGTAAGAAGGCAGGAACTTGCAGGGTGAAGCTAGAATTTTGAGAACTAAGAACACAAAAGGCACATTTGAGCCCTGGGGCATTTATGCAAACACTTAGGCTTCTTTGTATGGTTCCTAAGGCTCCATGGAAGGAAGACAACCATGCTGAGCAGGCCAAAGCCCTGGGTCTACCCAGGTAAGGTGTCCTGCAGAAGGTTCTGCTTCAGGGCAGGTAAAAGCCAGCTCCTGAAAGGTCAGCTGCCAGATATGGAGAGACCAGGGACTAATGGGGCTCACCTACAAAGTAACCAGAGTCAGCCTTGGACAACCCTCATTATCTGAGTGGAAAATATTTCAGCTCACTACAGAGCCTGCTAGAGTAGTTCCCTGTATGTGGTAAGACACCCAAGTACCCAACAGAGGCAAATCCAGGTCCTCTGCGAGGGAGTGTGTCTCAGGATAGACTGCCATGGATTCCCACCATAAGCAAACCTAGAGCAAACAATGTTCCATCCAGAAGTGGAATGAGTAAATTGACACATCATAATTCAGTTAATAAAAATACTGATAAATTAAAATAATAATAACAACAATAAACTATGAAACCCAACAGAGAGATTTAACAGAACAGACATAGCTGAAGAGAAAATATAAAAAATAGAAGCTGGAGAGATAGCTCAGCAGTTAAGAGCACTGGCTGCTTTTCCAAAAGACCTAGGTTCAATTCCCAGTACCCACATGGCAGCTAACAACTGCCTGTAATGTCAGTTCCAGGGGATCTGACTCCCTCACACGACACAAACACAAAACACCAATGCACATAAAATAAAAATAAACCATTAAAAAATAGAAAATTAGTGAATGGAGTACATGTTCTAGAATTGAAAGGGTGGAATGCAGAGACTCAATTAAGAGATATAAGACAGAGGGAGAGCAACAACACATGTTCAATTAGCCTTTCGAAAGGAGCGAACATAAAACAGAGTCAATATTGAAAGGATACAGGCTAAAAATTTTCTAGAGCCAATGCACTTTATCACCCTATAGCTTTAAGAAAGCCAAATAAATAACAAGCAGGGGTGAGTGCATCAATCCAAACCCATACAGTTCACACTGGCACACATCACAGGAAAATAAAAATAGAAGAAAAAAGTCAGACAAGTGTTAAGCCAGCCAGAGAGAAAATGTCACATTACCTTCAAAGAATTTAGGCAGACTTACAGCTGACTTCACAAAAGCAACAATGGAAGCCAGGGGACAGTAGAATGACATCTTCAACATGCTGGGAGGAAATAACTGTCATCAAGTAAAAACACACTGAAGGGGTGAGAAAAAAACAGGCAAACGTGTGTAGACCCACACAAATGTAGTCTGTTCCCAGTAGCCTCACTAAAGCAAACCAGGAAGGACACACTTGAAGTAGACGTAGCACAACCACAGAGGAAGGTCTGAGATCAAACACAAAAATGAAAGCAGTCTTTATGTGGCCAAATCTAAATGAACACTGACATGGTGGTGCACACCTTTAATCCCAGCCCGTAGGAGGCAGATGCAGGTGGACATCTATGAGTCTGAGACCAGCCTGGTCTACTGAGTGAGTTCCAGGACTGCCAAGGCTACATAGAGAAACCCTGTGTCTTGAAGCCCCCCCCCCACCAAAAAAAAAAAAAAAAAGTAACATGGTTTCTTTTGGGGAGGGGTGGGGGGGGGCTAAAGGAAAAAATTAGAATATCTAACAATGGCATATACTTGTGTGTGTATATGTGTATGTATATGTGTGCATGTGTGTAGGAAGTACACAGCTAAACAGAAGTGAAATAGTCTAAGTCCTTGTATTAGTCAAGACAGAGGATTAGGAAATGAAGTCAGATTAGGGTCTGTGAAGTTCACACATGCTGTAATTTCTAGGACAACTGATGAAAGTACAGGCGCAGAATGCACAGCTCCCAAGTGAAGAGGAAAACTGCTAAAAAAGGAAACCAATCCAAAGGAAGGTAAGACACCCTAAAATGTAGCTATCAATAAGAAAACCATGACACTGTCAAGTCTAAGACTGGCCACATCATTTTAGCACCCTTTGAAATGATCCTTAAAAACCAGTCTCAGTAACAGCCCAAAGCCTTCTCAGCTTTTCCAGTCACTTCAGTAAAGATTAAGTACCTACTATATTCCAGGCCCTGTGTAGGCACAAAATACAAAACAGATGTAGTTCTTGTTTTTCGAAGAAAATGGAAAGAAGAAACAGTATTCAAAAGGTAATTCTAACAAAGCTGTTATCATTGCTACAGTACTCGATGTGCCTTTCTGCCCCCTACATCCTAATACTTACTTGTATACTCAAAGAGACGGGAGTCAGGCCCTTGATAAGGAAACCAAAGAAAATGACATGCCAGATACCTACCAGATATTACTGTATTTTGTCTGTTCTGCAGTAAGGAGTCTGTCTTGAAAGCTGGTCACTAATTCTGGAGCAGTCCATCTCAAGGGGAAAATTTTTTTGTCATCAGTCTCAATGTAATCCTCCTGAATAGTCAGAAGCACAGTGTCCAGGGGAATTAAATGTGAGGAAAGCAAAACATCTTAAAAATCATATACCCAACCTAAAAACACAGCATGGGAGGAGGCGAAGGCAGCACAAAGAGAGAATTCTGGATGGAAAGACGGATGTGAGGTATTCCTCTGAAGTCTGAAGGCTTTGTAAATGGGTCTCTAAACCACGTTTGCTCTGTCACCTTTCGCACAGGCTGGCCTTTGGCACTGAGGATGGTGCTGGTTACCACAGTTGATGTTACAGGTTCTCCTCCCAACACATACCAGCAGCAAAGTAACAGGTGAGCTACAGACACCAAAGCCCGCTTCCTTTCATGTAAACAAGGGCTGCACAAAGCCAACCACCTCTGTAAGGGTTATTGCTAGCAACAACTTCACAGCATACAGCAGGTGCCTTGCACACTGCAGAAAACCTAAATTTGCATGTTTTGAAAGCATTCTATCTCTGGTCCTTACAAGAGCCCACTAAATGACAGATAAACATTATCTCTATGTTGCTGCTCAGACAATGATGGGCATTTCAGCAACAAAATTCCTTTTTAAAAAAGATAAAATTTATCTAATTTTATGTGTATGAATATTTTGTCTGAATGTATGTATGTATACCATGTATGTGTCCAAAGCCCAAGGAGGAGTCAGAAGAGGGTGTCAAATCCTCTGGAATAGAACTACAGACTCTTGTGAGCCTCCATGTGGGTCTGGGAACTGAACTTGTATTCTCTGCTGCAAGAACAGCAAGTGCTTTAACCACTAAGCCATCTTTCTCCAGCCTCAGTAATATCTTTGCCCATGTACTTGTTTAGCTGAGCTCCACAAACTTTAAAAAGAACAAAACTGTAAATATCAATCAAGTTTATCAAACCAGTACTTCAGTTTTACTGACTATAGTAGAGAATCATCTACAAGACATGTGTGCTCTGCTCTACAAATATTAATTACCATTTTGCCCACATGCTAATTATCAATTTTGTTGTATCGGGTTAGTGAAATGGCTCAACACATAAAGGCACTTATTGCCAAGACTAATCACTTGAGCTCTGTCCTGGGGATCCAACAGGGTAGAAAGAGAGAACTGCCTTCTGATTTCCACATGCATGCCCTTGGCATGTACATGCCCACAAAACATACACGTCCACATGAAATAAGTATACAATTAATATATTGTTTAACATTTTTTTATATTATTAAGTCAAACTGAGTCAATTACACCAAATTACAAATGGCTTTAGACAGTCTTTTGAAAGCTGTCACAAAACCTTGGCACAAAGCCACTGATTTAGACAAACCAGAATCACTGAAAGGCCTGGGACAGACCCTGCTCTAGAAAGGCCATATCATGAAGACTAAGATTCTCACTCCCTCTTCTAGCATGAGTCGTATTTTTTCATTTTCAACCCAACTCCATGGATGACACTAAGTGGATTAAGTAGACAGAGGCAGAGCTTTGCTTACCTTGTATCTGCTGAATCCTATCCCATAGTCGCCCACTTTGACATTTAAGTCAGAGGTGAGGAAACAATTCCGTAGGGCCAGATCACTGCAAATGGAAGGAGTAAGGCCAGAATAAGAACAAACAGGATCCACAGCCTGCACCTCCACACACAAAACTGCCACAGGTCAGAGGCTTCCTTAGAAACCAGCGTGCCCCAGCTCTCTGCCTAGTCTTGACCCCCCCCCCCCCCCCCCAGTTTAAGAGTTATCTCCCACATTCCTAATCACACTTTAGGCACAAAACCAAGATCACTGGTTAAGTACTGAACATACATACGTTGGTGGCTTGGATCACAGTACTTAAAGGGGGCACTGTCTCTTCCCACTCCACTTTCCCAAGGGAGTAAAGAAGAGCACACTGTCATGACGTACAATTTACAGCCAGGATCCACTTGAAGAATAAGTTCATTTTTATAAAACTGGTACTTTGAGAGATGGGGAGATGACTCAGTACCTAATGTGTTTGCCTTGCAATCCTAAGGTTTTGAGTTTAATCCCCAGAGCATACATTAAAAAGGTTGGACACTTGCAAACCCAGAGCTGGGGAGGCAGAAACAGGAGGCCAGCCTAGCCTACTTGGCAAGTTCCAGGCCAGTAAGAGACACTGTCTCAAATAAAATGAATAGGAAAAACAACTTAAGATATTGTCTTCCAGCACATATCAAACAAACAAACAAACAAACAAAGCATACTTTAATAAGTTAAAAAAAAAAAAAAACTCCCCCCTTCTTTTTTGTTGTTTTTTGTTTTCAAAACATTTAAAAATATTTTCTAAAATATGGTTGTGAGCTACCCAGGTGTTTCTCCAAGAGAGACCTCCTTTTCCCTAAGTGACTCAGTTTTCTTATTTATTAGCTGGAGGAAAAAACAGTACCTACTAGTGACCAAAGGCTGGAGGAACTTTGCCAGCAGATCACCATCAAAAGCTGTAAGGGACAGCAGCAGGTGGCAGCAACACAGTACCTTGCATGTTTTAGGTCTCTGTAATGCTGATTCAGTTGTACTGAGTGGCTCTCTATGCTACAGCGATACGCATGATGCTCTACCATGAAGCCTTTGAGCTGTTGGCAAAACCTTGGATGCTTTCTGACTTCACTGTCCTTAACAATATAGAACCCAACAGTCCTCTTTTTTCCCCCCAATTATTTAGTGTGTGTGTACAGAATTGGGGATTACAGGAACATAATAAAAATGTGCACAGAATGTTTTTAAACATTAGGACTGCTATTTAGATTCAAGGTAATGATGTAATTGGCCTCCAATGCTAACGGTTAAGTATTCTCTGCGCCCATTAATGTGCAAAGCTATGGAACAGAAAAAACACAAGGTGTGCAACTTGACGTCAAGGCTGCTCAGGTCAGGAAATACAAACGCAGCCAGCACTCTCCTTCAAGCTGAAAAACAGGTCCGGTGACAAGTCTACCCAAGCTCCAGCCCTGCCTGGCTCCCAGAAAGCACTGGCTGGTCACTCCATTTGGCAGCAGGCCAAAGGGTTCCAAGTCATATCTCATCACCATTTGTTTTTAACTTGGATAGCTACACATCACAGTCTGCCCATCTATAGAATGATTCTTTGGTGCAAATGGCTCAAGGTGATCAAGGCCAGCTCCAAATTAACCTATGCCAAGTTTCTATCTATAGGAAGCAGAGTGACCAAGCTCCTGATAGTGAGATTGAAGACAAGGAGCCAGTTACCTGAGAGCCACTGAAAATTTTTTCCGGGAGTTTGGCTTATGCTATCTTATTAAATCTTGGTAACAGTGCTTCTGGGTAAAACAGATCCCCAACTCTACAGAAGAAGTATGCTCAGAGGGATCAAAGGAGACTCACAGTTGTAAAGCTGATGACAGGAGAATTAACCACCCCAACTGATCCTCTCTGTCCCCCTCACTGTCTGCCTGCAGCAGCCACAAACATTGAGGCTCTGAAGGGCCATGTCCATTATGCTTCGAAACTCAGATGTGCCAGCATTATATCCAGAAATCTGGGGGAAAGGAAAGCATAAGCTTTCCTAGAATGTTAATGGCCTTTTTCCTGCTTATGAATAAAGTCTATCATTGCTGGCTGAGCAATACCACATTACTGAGTACCTACTGTATGCCAGCCACCCACTGAGCTCTGGAAATGCAGAATTCTTCCACTGTGAAATTCTGACTAGACATAAAGGACAGTGCCTACAAACTGTCTGTGATTGCTGGCTGGACATTCTGGGACTGATGATGAGATGGGGTAAGGCCTCCTGGGTGGCTTTTTCGTTGGGCTCATCTGGCATTAAGGCTGAATTGGACAGCCAGGCCTCTAACTGGCTCTATCTTATTGTACATTACCGCAAAACTAGATGAAATATTCAAATAAAATAAGCAGTTTCTGGCTACTGGACACCAACTTGCCCAGGGTTCTGACCCTGGAGGAGTAAAACAGCAGGGGTTAAGTACCACTCTAGGAGCCATACTCCATGTCCAGCTCAGAGTCTAAGCCCAGGGAATAAAACTTCCAAGTGGACCCCAAGATTGGAGGCTGAATCTGAACACATAGGGGAAGATGAATGCTTTGAGAATGTCTAACACCAAGGTTAGGTAGGGGTATGGTTCTGTTATAAAGTCCATACCTCAAACCCTCCAGTGAGGGGCTGGCGATACAGTTCAGTGGTACACATGAGGCACTGAGTTCCAGTCTCAGCACCAACAACACACAAAATGCGCTAAATCTAAACAAAGCTCAACATATTACCTAAAACCAAAGCCAACCTGAATGTTCAAGGAACTATGTCTAGGGCAAGGTCTTGATGGTTCTTACCATCAAATGTGTCCTAGAATCACTTGGGGGCCCCACTTTCCTACTTCTAAACAAAACAGCAGGCAGCAGATCTGTGGTTGGCTGAGAATGGGCATATCCTAGGAGCCAGTGCACCTCTGATAAGCCTCCCTGAGATGTGAGCTGAGACTCCACTTCTGAGAGGGGCCCTAAGATTTCTGGCCTATCCCCTCAGGTTCCTACACCTAGGACCTGCATCATAACCAGACAGCTTTGCTAAAACACAGTGTCACCAGGATTTACTACCACGAGACAATTTTCCTAGAGCCAGGTCTAGACTAGAAGCCACCCTGGATCAGGATCAAAGAAAGCTGGTAGATTTTCAATGTGCACATTTATAATCAGTGGTGCAAGTGCTAGTTAAGAAGGGAGCTAGCATTTTCCATCTGAAACACTAATTTTCTCAGGGGGCCTGCCCTGGGCCAGCCTAGAAAGATGCAGCATTTGGTGCTTTATATACAAGTGATTTTCTACAGACATAACAGTAGATGGTGTGTGCCTTGATTTACTGAGTCTCATATGGCCCAGAATGACCTTAAACTGTCTGTGTAGCTAAGGAAAACTTCGAACTTCTGGTCTTATCTGCCTCCAACTCCCAAATCTCGGAATCTCAGGCATTTAGATCAATAACTAGTTTACTTGGGGCTTGGGATAAATCCAGGGCCTGGAGGATGCCAGGCCATTGTTCTACCATTGAGCTATACACAGAGGCCACGGTAACTGGGCAGTAAGGATGCTGGGCTCCTTCTGTGCCCTCTTGAGGTATAAAGTTTTTTTTTTTTTGTTTGTTTTTTTTTTTTTTCTTCAAAGTCTTCCTCATTTCCCTCTACCCTTTCAGGTAGTACAGATTAACAACTGGTAGGTACAGTCTTTCTACATAATGCACACACCAAAACAATATACAAAGAAGAGCATACACTGTTAAGACTACCAAACTGAACCATCATACTTATGATATCACAGTATAGAGATCCCTCCTGTAAACCAGCCTAGTCATCCCTGGCTATTACTGTAACATTCAACAGTGCAGTTGGAGCTTACACTAGCTGCCTGAATGTCAAGTCTCTCCCATTTGCTACCCTTTCAAGTGATACTAGGATAATCATTTTGTTTGTCTGTTTGAGGCAGGATCTCATTTTGTAACCTAGACTAGCCCTGAACTTATAATTCTCTTGTGCTGGCCTATTGATCATTGGGTGCAACATTTTTTTTTTTTTTTTTTTTTTTTTTTTGTTCTTTTAAAGAATCTTTTTAGTTGGTGTGTTGGTGTACACCTTAAATCAGCTTGTGAGGCAGAGGTTGATGATCTCTGTGAGTTCCTGACCACCCAGAACTACACAATGAGACCCTATCTTAAAAAAAGGAGAGAAGAAAAGGAAAAAAATGAACAAAATAATAACAAAACTAGGCCAGTCTAAAAAAGGCTCCAGTTTGCTAACAAGTCAAGTACTCAGCCAGCTTGAGCACATATACTGCCCACCAAGGTGACCTGATAGTACCTTGTTGCTCGAAGACCTTCAAAGTGGAGGGCAGGGGACCCTAGGTTCTAGGTCAACTGTGGAAAGGTAACAGCAGCATGTGCCGTTCACACGGCCTTCAGGAAGGTTTAGTATGCCACCTCTGAAACACAGGCTGCCTGAGATAAGGCTCTCTTTAAACATTATGTAAAAACAAATTTTAACTAGGGTGATTTACAAGATCAGTTTCCAACATGAAGACAGCTTTGGGTTAGACAGGTGAACCGGTCTATTTCAACCAAGTCCTCTGAGTCAACCAATATTCTAAATCTCAATTTAAAAATAATGCCATATGGAAGGCTACCCACACAAAAAGAATTTATAAAGAATACAAGTTTGCCCCACACGAAACTGCATATCAAACAGCCTGTGTGTGCGTGCATGTGGTGTGTGTATATGGACACCTGAGTATGCAGTTATGCATGTACATGTGTGTGTGGAGGCCAAAGGATAACTTCAGGTGCTGCTCTTCAGACACTGTCTTACAATACCATGCCCCCATACATTCTGCCCAGCACTGGGATTATAAGCATACAATACCACACTGGCTTTATTTATTTATAAATAAATAAATAAATAAATAAATAAATAAATAAATAAATAAAATAAAAATAAAACACGGTTGGGACTGAAAAGATGGCTCAGTGGTTAAAAGGTGCTTACTGCTGTTGCAGAGGCCCTGGGCTTCTTCCCCACATGGATATGGTGGCTCACAACTGTAACTCTAGTTCCAGGGACCCAATACCCTTTCTGGACTCTGAGGCCAATGCATGTGTGTGGTATACTTACAACATACAGGCAAACACTCATACACATAAGAAGGAAAAAAAAAAAGATTAAATCTTGTGGACAATAAATTAAATGAATAAAAAAAAACATGGGATTAAACTTGGTCCTATAAGCTTTTACCGACCAAACCCAGAGCAGTTACTTTAAAAAGCAGAATGTAACAGCTGTCGTCAATGGTTTCAGGGTGCTTCTGTACCTTGAGCCTTTGTTCTTGAATATCATCCAAACCATATGATTTATCTTTACTTGTTTACAAGACTCTTAAGACTTTTCCTTGAGGAAGTATGGGAAAACATTACTGGCTATGACAGCTTTGCCATCTGTAAGAACATGGTGGTAGTTGGGGATTTATTTAGCTCAGTGGCAGAGCACTTGCCTGGCAAGCACAAGGCCCTGGGTTCTGTCCCTAGTTTGAGGTGGGGGTGTGAGGAGGAGACCCACTATTTAAAAAAAAAAAAAAAGAAGAAGAAGAAGAAGAACACGGTGGTGAGCAGGACTCAGGCACAATTTCCAGCCATTTCTGGGAACTTCATGTTGCTCATTTTGATGGGCTACTTCATGTTCTAATTATGTTTGTGCATGTCTATCTACGTGTGTGAAGTTGCCATCGAGGCAGAAGAGGATACTGGATTCTCTGGAGGTGATGTTCCAAGTGCTGATGAGCTGTTGGTGCTGGGAACTGACTTGGTCCTCTACATGATAGGCAATTTGCTTTCTCTCCAGTCCACCTTTCACAATCAGAAATACCTTACCAAAATCACTTGTTTACTACTGTAAGACAATCAAGAAACAGATGTGGAAGAAAAAGTAACTACTTCCTATATACTTTTTCCAACCCTGAAGTAAAAATGAGCATGTAAAAGGAGCAATCCTGATACTGCTCACCATATTCCCAAATACAACCAAGTATTTTTCCATAAACAAATAATAAAGGATTCATACTGAAAATAAATCAGATTTGATTTTTATTTAAAACTTTTTAAAGATTTATTGTTTTGTTTTTAAACTGTGTGTGTGTGTGTGTGTGTGTGTGTGTGTGTGTGTGTGTGTGTGTGTGTGTGTATCCCATGTGTGTGTGGGTGCCTGCTGGGAATAGCTGAGAAGCCAGATCCCCTGATGCTCACACAGTTGTGAGCTGCCTGATGTGGGTGCTGGGACCTGAACTTGGGTCTTCTGAAAGAGCAGTCTTAACTCCTGAGCTATTTCTTTAGCCCAAGACATTTTTGTTGTTGTGGTTTCCTCTTTATAGTCTTAGCTGTTTTGGAACTCACTCTGTAGACCAGGCTGAATTCATACTCAGAGATCTGTCTGCCTCTGACTCCTAAGTGCTGCTCAAGACTGATTTTAAAAATACTATACTTTGTCAGGCAGTGGTGGTGCACACCTTTAATCTCAGCACTCAGGAGGCAGAGGCAGGTGGATCGCTAAATTCAAGGCCAGCCTGGTTTACAGAAAGACAGACAAGGCTACAAAGAGAAAGAGAATCCCCGTCTCAAAAAACCAATCCTAACCAAACTAAACCAACAAACAAAAACAAACTCACAGACATCTCCTCTAGACAGGTAAGCCTTTTCAGATAGTTGGGTGAAGAGTCACCTGAATTACTTAAAGTCAACTAAAGAGGCTCTGCCAAACTTCCCTAGAGACCTAGAAAAGTAACACAGTATCAGCAAACATCTGGATGCAAAGATGCTACGAAAGCATGAGGAATGGAATTATGATATCCAGTCCAGTGCCCCACTCACACTTGTAGCCCCAGCTTTAAGGTGAAGCAGAGGCAGGAGGTTCACTGGGGATCATGGGCTTCCAGACTAGCTGAGAAAATGCCAGCTAGGAAGAGCTCCTGCCTCAAAGGTATTCATACTCAAAGACAGAGAGTGATCAGGAAGGAATCTGATCCCCTCTTCTGGCCAAGGTTCCTGACTCTACATAAACACAAATAAAGAAATCTATTTTTGAAAAATTAGAACTCAAAATCCTGAAGTCTAAAGGAGAATAAGTAGAACTCTCCTTTCCAATTCACAGAGCAGACCAGTCAGTCATCTGTGCTAGGACAGAAGGAAGCCTATGGTGTACAAACAGGAAGAGGCATCTATAGACCTAATCTCCACACTCTAAAACCAGCCTGTTCACCGGCCAGAAACCAAAGCCACCATCTAATGGAAAGAGGCACTGCTGGCCTATAGCACTCTTTCTCAGGACTGTGAACAGACATATAAGGTGATCCTGGGTATACTCAGAAGCCTAAAGCTGACTGATCAGATTCAACAAGCCATAGGTCAGGAGAGAACCAGGTACATTCACTCCCTACTCTGAGGCTTGCAGACTTCTAATACTGAAATTCCTCAAGTATTTTCTAGACTCAGACTATACTCATGCTATTCCTTGACATTGGTTTAACTGAAGCCCAACTCTGCCTTTATTTACCAATACATCTTTAAGCAGAGAGCTCACGCTATAACCTGATCTCTTTGAGTTTGTTTTTTTTTTTCCTTCCTCCATTCTTGCCTTGGTTTTTATTTGACATTATTGGGATAGGGTCTCATGTATCCCAAGTTGGCCTCAAACTCACTATGTGGTCGAGGATGTCCTTGAATTTCTTTCTGATTCTCCTGCATCCTACGTGTTGGGATTATATATGGGTACCACTATGTACAGTTTATCAAGCCCAAAGTTTTAGGCATGTTAGCAGTCTAAGAACTAAGCTACGTCTCACCCCAGCCCTTCTTCCCAAACCTCACAACCACTTCAGATAGCAGCAACAGCAGTAATGTGAAGGGTGAGTCTGTGCCCGGTAAAACCTACCTGTGCAGGAAGTGCAGCTTGTGCATGGCTGCCAACCCTGCAGCAATCTCACACGCCATCCTCTGCAGCAGCATGGTCTGTGAATCGCCCCGCACATGCTCTTGCTCATTGCGCAGGTAAGCCTTCAAGTCGCCCTGCGAAAACCAGCCCACATAAGTGACAAGTGCAGCACCAAAAGAAACCAAGCACCCAGACTTGCACTATAGTTGATCTGAACTATTAAGATGACTTACTAAACAACTTAAAAGTAATTCCAACCAGCACAAAGTATAAGTTATTTTGCTTTAGGAGTCATTCTCACTAGTTATCATACAAACACACAGAACAACACAATAAATGAAATATAATTTTACAATGATGCACAATTAAATTAAGTGCAGTGAAAATATCTAGCAAGCTCCAGGCAACAAAGAGGCGATGTGGAGAGTTAAAGAAACAACGTCATTCACATCACCTAACTTCCATTTCCGAGGCACACATGGTCAGTGAGTGCTTTATCACGAGGTTCCATGGCCACCATTTACATATGAGTGAGCCATGGAGTATAGACTTAAAAAAGAGGTGAGGAAAGCCACTGAGTGCTAGTGACAAGGCTCAAGTCTCACCCCACTTCCTTCCCTGGAGACCAACATAGGAAAGAACATTCCAGTCACTTGCAACACTCACCTATTCAATTCAATATGCCTAGGCAGAGGTAGGAACAAACCCCAGTCAGACACACAGACAAAGGCTCCCAAGCTACTCCCATGAGTGCTCTAGGCTACCTGCACCAGGTAGACATCATATCTGCCGGAGGGAATATACTTGAGGAAATAACACATTATATTCCTCCTTACACAAAAAGATTGTTAGTGACTTAATCCAAATGAAAGTTTTCTGGGGAGAGGAATATGTATACACATGTTCAAGAGTGCGTATTTGGAGACCAGTGGTCAATCCTAACATATTCCTTAATCACTCCCTACCTTAAGTTTTTGAGACAGTATATCCTACTGGTCTGGAGCTTGCTTATTAGGCCTGCCTGCCTGCCTAGCTAGTTCCAGGGATCCTCCTGTCTTTCTCTCCAGGGCTGAGACTACAAACACAGACACCACTGTCCCTGGCTTTTCTTACATAAGTTTTGGTATATGAACTCAGGTATTCATGTTTATAGGGCAAGCATTTCACCAACTGAGCCATCTTTCCAGCTCCCAAACTGAAGACCTTTATGATCTGTTACTAAAGTAGGAAGCAATTCAAGATCTTCCAGCTTTCTTAAATCCCACTCAAGAAAAGGCTCACAAGATGGATGTTTTCCTTGGCCAACTTTCTTGTAACTTACTAAATAGACAGTGAATTTCTCAGACTACTCCCAGAACAACATTTTCAGACATAAATTAGGTACAGTAAGGATGTCCAGAAACCTCCACAGACAGTTGTCCATGTTTAATTCTTGGTACACAATAATACAATGTCTAGGTCCCAGACCTGCATTTGTTTGTATTCCTAGTTTTAATGATCCTTACATGCAAACACACACACAAATGTTTACACTGTTATCTGTGACAATTTTGGATTAATTTTATTTTGTTGTTTTGAGACACAGTTTGGCTATGTAGTTCAGGCTAGCCAAAAAGCCTCATCTCGTCCTCGAAGGTGCCATTAGTGCTTTTGAGCACTGTGTAAAATTACAGAAGGCTTTTGCAATGGTTAACCTTGGTACATACTTATTCTAACTCAGGCAGTCTAAAGATACAGAACTTCAGCTTAGGAGGGTTAAGAAATTTGCTCAAGAGCTCAACACAATGGTTGTTTCTGATACTTGAAAGGTGGAAGCAAGAGAATAAGGAATTAAAGGTCATCCTTGGCTATGAAATGACTTTGATGCCAACCTGGAGTACATCAAACAGGGAGGGAGGGAAAGAGGAAGGAAGAAGGGATGGAGGGAAATTTGTTTTAATAAACTATGCTTACACTGTTTAGTTTACTATCAAGAAAATTCTAGTCAGTAAGCAAGTGAATTAAATCAATATGCAGATGAAATCAGTTTATTCTACAAGAATGAATTCCAGATAATTTAAGATCCATCACACATACCTGTGGTAATTCTTCCAATCAGGCCAACAAGTTTACAAAGAAACAGCATCCTTCTCCAGTATACTGTGTGCACTCAGTCACCTAGCACCACTGTGCACACCCAGCCACCCAGCACCACTATGCACAGCCAAACACTCACCAGGATCACCAGTATCATGCACAGCCAGCACCACTGATCATCAGCACTGCCATGCACTCTCTCATACCCAGCCACGCACACTCATACCCAGTCATGGCATTAGAGCCTCTGGCTTTCTTTCTAAACATGGAAAACTTTCTCCCTTTGTTCCTTCTAGAATGCCTCACCCCAACACCAACAGCTCTTCATACAGGTTAGGCTCTTTCCAGCTGTGTGAATTGTTGAAAGATTTGATTGCTAAATTAACTTAAAGAAGTTCCACAGAAAACTCCAGGACTATAGGCAAATGGGCTGTCCCTAAGACAACCCGTAAGAAACAAAACACAGAAACTGCATTTAAATTCACTAACACTGCCAATCAAATGGCATTTTAAAAATTTATTTATTTATTTATTTATTTGCTTAGCCTCATTGTTGTAGCAATACCTGAATGAAGAAAAACCTACTGGCCAGGCTGTGGTGGCTCACATCTTTAATGGAAGCACAGACAGGTGGATCTCTATGAGTTCAAGTCCAGCCTGGTCTACAGAGTGAGTTCCAGGACAGTCAGGGTTACACAGAGAAACCCTGTTTCAGGGAAAAGGAAGAAAAGGGGGCGGGGGTGGGGAGAGAGAGACAGAGACAGAGAAGGAAACCTACTTTCACATAATCACGCTACTCTTGCCAATCTACAAAGCAAACAGCAGCTCTTGGTCAACACTTTACAAATGACTGTGGCTGTGAATTGGAGTTGTTTTTCAAGATCATCTCAAGTGTGTTTGTTGCCACTCCTATTCTTAAACTGCCTTCTCCCAGTAAAATTCCTGAGTGACTCTCAAGATCCCTAAGGGGCCCAGCCATATCCCTCCTGGAGGAAGACTTGCATTGTGTGTGCAGGACTCATAGTTAGGTCTAAGATCCAGAAGCACTCTGGAACTCTCCTGATAGCACAGTTTAAACACCAAACAAATGGTGGCACATGGTGGATAATTATTTAGTCCCAGCACTTGGGAGGCAAAGACAGGGTCTCTGCTCTACCTAACAAGCTGAAGAATAGCCAAAGCTATGTATAGAGACCCTGTCTCAAAATCAATCAATCACAGCTTTCAATTACAGTAAAGGAACTCTACCTTAAGAAAAGTTCTAAAAAGATTCATTCTATTTAAAACAAACCAATATTTAGATATTTGAGGGAGGGAGGGAGGGTGTGTGTGTGCGTGCGTGCGTGCGTGTGTGTGTGTGTGTGTGTGTGTGTGTGTGTGTGTGTGTGTGTCCTTTTTGGCTTTTTATTATGAGGCAATGTCTCATTGTGTTGCCCAGGCTAGACCTGAATTTGTGATCCTCCTGACTCAGTCCCCTAAGTAGCAGAGAGTAAAGGCCTATGCCCACAGGGCCCAGCTTGTCTTATTTATATTTTAATGATGCTTAGTGAGTAAAGACAGACATTACTACAACCTAAAAAGAAAAACAAGGTATTACCAAGAATCTCAATGTGTTTTGAACTAAAATAAAATTCCCCTTATCCAGGTTTTAAAATTTAAGAAAACGCAAGAAAGACAATTTACCGACACTAGATGGCGACAGAAAGCTACACCAAGAGCTAGGCGAAGAAGCACCTTGGAGTATATAGGCCACACAAAAGCCCTCCTAAATTCCAACACAGAAGACCAGCAGTGCTTTATGCAGGCTTTTGGCAGATCGATGAGCACAATGAATTAATTTTTTAACACATTTTAATTTAATTTGACATTTACACTTAATGTAACAGAAGAAGTAAATAACCTTATAACCAAAACACTGGTCATTTGTGTATCTAATATATCTAAAGAACTTTGTTTTGAGGTAGGATCTCATGTAGCCCAGGACAGCCTCAAATTCAGGTAGGGATGATGATGAATTTCTCTTAGCTTCATGATTGAAGTATGCCCCAGTATGTCCCTTAATGCAGTGGGTATGTCCCCGTTGAAGCACACTGATGCCTGTATCCGGATGCAATCCTCTTTGTTGTGGATTATTCGCCTTTTAGCCTTCTACACCCATCTCCTCAGGAGTCTTCTTTCAGCTCTACTACTCCAACAGCTCCCATCCTCATCCCAGCCTGCTCTTGCTACTCTCCTGTCTCTGTCATCCTTCCTCACATGCCTGTCCAGTCCTGGCTGTGTCTTCTGGCCTCCTTCCTTGCATGAGCCTCTGTCCTTAACACACTTGCACCCACTATTCAGCTACAGATGCTGAACAACCCCTCCCCCATTCCCAAAGCTAGCAGCTCTGCCAAAAACTAGCAAAACAAACGAACAAAAAGCCCAAGGGGTCTTTCTTCCTTCTAACCCAGCCTTTCCATGGGGCAGCATGATGGCTCACCAAATAAAGGTGCTTAACACCATGGCTAGCAACCTGAGTTCTCTCCCCATACTCCACAGGATAGAAAGAACCCACTCCAAGACCATTCCCCCCATGGCATACATGTGCTTTCTCCCACCCTGCCCCACACAAAATAAATAAATGTAAAAAGTTATTAAACAACATAAATGCCTTAGCCTTCTCCACCTGGCTTCTGGGCACCACAATTTGCCACATGCCTTCCTATCTCACAAAATCCCTGGTGGCCCTTCCCTGGTTCTTGCTCCTCTCACAGTTCTGTAGCCACTTCATAGCCATGCTCCATGTGTTTTGTGCTGGCCAGCCCCTCCTCTAAAACCTTGTGATTTTCTCCTTGGATGTCTAGGAGGCAACTCATGCCTAATGCATGTCCAGAACAAAACAGGCCAACCTGCCCTGATGCCGGAAATGGCATCACCACATTTCAGCAGATGAGACAAAAATCAAAGATGCCATCTATGAATCCTATCTTTAGATACATTTCTAAGCCACCTATCTCCAGATCTTGCCAGTTTTAGAGGGCCACTGCTATCATGCCTGAGGCACATCCCACATCCACCT